TTGGTGTTTCTCCGTGAAGTAATTTTTTGCTAGCTCTGTACTGTTTACATGAAACTGTTTTTCCTGTCTCGGCTGGCTGGGCCAAAAAATGTAAGCAATCAAGCAAAGGAAAATCAAAAACATTTTTCTCTGGACAGAGTCGGGAGAGGGAGTGTCAGTGTAACCCTTTGCTTCTCTCTAAATTCAATAATAAAAAGCTGAGTTTGTCATCTAAAAAGTTCATGAAAGTACATTTTTTTTACTATTTTAAACCAGCTGTCCTCTGCTTACCTTTTGTTCTCTGGAGATGTACCATTTTTGTTGTATTGACTCACTTATTTCTTGCTTAACACTGTAACGTCTTGCAGGAATTTGTGGAACCTTTCAAAGGCCTTCAAAGCCGATACGTGCACTCGACTGTTGTCGTTATTTTACCATTAACCGCGTTGGTCTTTAGGCTAAGGAATTGGCTATGTCAGGGATTCATGACAACTACCTTGCAAAGGTTATTTATAATCAGACTGAACATTAGTATGGGCTTCAAAAGAGATGAGCATGGGTGCTAAACTGTTTCATTTGGGTTTTAATCCTATTTATCCTTGCTGAGTGGAGCTTTGTCGTAAACATATTATTGACACACATAGCTTTTTCTCTATGTTTTTTCAAATTACGTGGAATTCTTCAGAATAGAGAAAATCTTAGGAGGCATCATGTAAAGACGTTAGTAATTCCTGTATCCTGAGCCTCCTTGCTGAATTTACACTTTGTCTGCTAATTTTAATCTTCGCTTCATTAAACCCATTTTTAAAAAAGCAGAACTTTGCATGAGATCCAAACTTAGCGTTACACCTGTGTGCATATCTGTTACTCACATTTCTTCCAGATGCTTCCTTCGTGCTAGGAAAATACAAAGGGATCTATTGTTGAGAGACTTTGTAGACTCCATATGCACTAATAAAGGTTTTGAGAGGTTTGGAAAATATAATGCAGTGCTTGGAGTTTAAGATTCAGGAATCTGAATTACGTTAACAAACTTCTTAGTCATAATTTTTTAAGTTTCTTTTCATAACTGTTGGTACTAGTAGTCCTCAAGAACAATTCCCTCTGTTTACTTGGAGTGGGATTTTAAGATTATTTTAGGACAAAGGTGAGTATGGGGAGAGAGAAATTGCAGTAATATTTATTTTATTGCCTTTTTTTTTGTGGATTTAGCACAATTTCCACTGAGATACAAACTATTTACAAAACAGTTGCTAAATAAATCTCCCAGTGAGACACGGATGAAACTCTATAGCGCTAATGTTTCCGTTCACATCAATGAGATGTGTGGTGTGCTGGCCATCTGTTATATACACCTGAATAGGATCTGAAATCCTTACACCAAAGACCTGATTTTTTTATGCCATTGCTTTTATGGAGGTGTGCCATAAAAATGGCCATGTGCTGGCAACCTGTGCAACTGGACCCCTTTAAATCTGTGTAAAAGTGATGACATTTCAAGCACCTCAGCATCTCTTAAAATTAATACAGCTAATTGCATTAACGACTGTGTGTTGAAGAGATTATCCTCTTGCTTAGAGTTTGTTCCCCCCCCCCCATCTGCAATGTCCCTGGTGGGGTCCACAGCTGTGAGAGCAACAGCGTGCATGACAGCCTGCCTCAGGATTGGCAAGCCAACTGGAAGGAACACTGAGACCCACAAGGATTGCTGGACCCGAAGGGCTTGCAGCTTGTGAGAACATCGAGCTAATTAAAGTCTAAATAAACGGAATGTCCTTCTTGCTGAAGTAAAGATAAATAAATAAATGCCTGCGTGTTGTTCCAGAGGACTGAATAAAGACAAAAATATTTGTGTCTTGTTTACCTAGTAATGTCTCTTAATTGTGAAAGGGGGACCATGAGCAGACCTGGTGAATATGTGCAAGTATACAGTTCTGATTTCTTTTTTAATCTGTTGTTTTAATAGGAGAGGTTCAGCAAAGGCAGTGAAAAGTATGTGTTTTCTTCATATTAAAAAAAAAAAAAAATGTAAAGACTTTTTAAAAATCCCAGTACGTATTTTTAGCAAATGTCTTCTTAGCTGCTGCTTCCTTGCCACTGGTGAGCTGTGCTTCTGCTCACGCGCTGGTGCTTCGCACGCAGACCGCGCTGACGGGGCTGTGTGCTGTGTGCTGTGTTTGCGGACCTGCGGTGCAGTGTATGCTACTAGTGCATCACTTCAGTTCTTCTTCAGTTATGAATATCATCTTAGCCTTCCCATACTTATGTAATCTCAATAAGAAAAGAAAGACAGGCACTTAAAAAATTGATCTCATGTTGATGTCTTATTTCCTTTAAATTTTCTACGCGCCACTTTTTTTTCAGTTTGTTTAACCAAACCTAGGCTAAATACAGATTTAGGGAGCTATACCCAAGACAGATATTTAGGAGTGAATTTAATTTCAGTCGTGTGTGTGCCTTTAAGTTTGTATTTAAAGTGAAGCACTTGCTGCAGCGCTTTGCTGAAATGGGCCTTCGAAGGAGTCTGATGCTGGAAGGACTGAGCAGTCACAGTTCTCGGCTAAACCTCATCTTGAGGGTCCTTGAAAAATTAGGTTCCCAAGTAGAAACTTGAGTCTCTCCAGGTGCCCGTTTTGAGAGGATGTGACCACTGAGTTAGGTCTCGATTGTCATGTCTCCCATTCTCACAAATGAGAAAAATGGGTGTAAGACTCCGTAAAGAGACCGTCAGACTGCTAAAGAAGGCTGCAGCAGTGCGTAGTCAGCAGTCCTGGCCTAACATCTGCTGAAAAGTGGAATCTCACTATTTAAAAGGCAAAAAAAAAAAAAGAATAAAGGGGTTGTTTGATAAGCTATAGAAAATCTAGCACTCACCTTTTCGTGTTGTACCCCTTAAATGTTGTAAAATTTCATTCATGATTACATATGTAACAAATATTAAGCATATTTAAATGGCAAAAAAATACTGTGGAATGGGAAAAGAAGTAAGAAATTGGATGCCTGGTCTAGCAAAACAAACAGACACAGCAGAATGAGTAGAGAAAACATGTTTTTCTGCTTATTTTACAAGCAGGAGTGTAGAGGGAACAATTCTCTCATTACATGTGTATAAAAATAGGCTTGGAGAGTGACTTCTCCAGGCATGAGAACTCCTAGCATTTTCCTGTTACCTTGATCCTCATCAGCTCATTTGTTCAAAAGTGAACCAGAGGTAAGTTTTTACTGAGACGCCCCGCAGACTTTAGCACAGGAACAGCACACACATAAACACACCCTAATCGTGAAACAAGGGCAGCAGTATCTTAGCGAACTCCATAAAATCAGTCAGTGCTCACTTCGGTTGTCAAGAAGCAGCAAAAGTAGTCCAAAACCTGATTAAGGCAGTTTTTAATTCTGGTCAAAGCTCAGAAGAAATGCTTGGATGGATGAAAAGAATAAGCTGGGCTTGATTAAAAGAGAAAAAAAAAAGGGCAAAGAATCTCTTGGTAGACGGGCTGTGCAAGCTCTCAGGATTATTCGGTGAAAAACAGGCCAAGTTCAGCCTTTGTCTGAATCATATGACCTTAATCTATTGTGAGAGAAATTAAAAGTTAGTCTGTTCAAATGAACTCGGCGTACTGGCCAGCTTTTAACTCTGCTGACTGCCTTCTCCCTGGCTCCATACTCTGCGAAAATCCCTGCTGCTGCATTGCTGGTTATTCTTGCTCCAGTTGTCGGCCGTGATCTGTGGTGGCAGAGGAGAGGAATCATTCCAAAGAAGCTGTGTTAAATTTGTAAAGTGGATTGGCACCCTGATGGCGGGCATCTAGATACCTTGCAAACACAGAGAGGGAACTGCTAGTGTTAGTTACACGCAGTACAGCCTGCAATTTTATGTAATATACAGACTGAAGGAGGTAATTAGATGCAGCAGCACTTTGTAACCTTTCAGCGTGTAAACTGTGTGAACCCAAGAAAGTTTTCTTTTTGGAAATCCTCTGAATAATTCTCACTTATGTTGCAACACGAGGACCTGAGGAAATGCTCAGTTTTGCTGTAAGTTTGTTTAAAGGGCCACTTTTACATTTGTAGCTTTCTCTGGTTTCCTTTGAAGATGGGAGAATCCTGAAGATTTATTTGTATAATTGTTATGCAGCACAGGATGAAAGTTTTGGGTGAAATCCAGTCCGTCTCATATGTCTGTGTAGTTTCATCCATCTAGATGCATGATGAAGCAGTCTAAAGTATGTATCTGGAGTCTACACGTAACTGATAGACACTGATAGGTGCTTTGGAAGGCTTCCCTGGTGAGATCCTGCCTGCTAGATTTTTGGCATCCGAGCTGGGTGGCGATGAGTCTCCTTCTAGAGACTACAAAGATAACTTCCTCACCCATTAACTGGTTAGGCAAAGGTAGACATTTGCTGTACAAGTACTTAATGCCAAGGTACAGACTTGTGCCTCAAGTGAGCTCTACTGAATCAAATGCTTTTCAAAAAAACAAATGTTATTCACCCTGTTATTTTATTTTCTTCATACATTACCGTAATAATTTCTGCTTTCTAAAACACAACGGGGGAGGATTTCACCACAGGGAGGTTTGCAAAAGTGAGGAATTCTGCCCATAACAAAGCCACCTCCAGTCAAAACAGACGTTCCTGCTTCCAGTGCCTGCTGGGTTAACGGTGTCGCTGAGAAAAGAGTCTCCTGCCTGCAGAGGGCATCCGACTCCTCGGTTTTCCCTGCCAAAATGTGTGTGGAATAGGGAGAAACTAATGGATTGTACATTAAAGCATTGCTGCACATTGCTGCACGTGACGGGTCAGGGATACCTCCACCTACGCAGGGGTACCAGAAGTGTAATTGCAGTGGAAAAACTGGACTCTTCCCAAGCATCCGCATATCCCCTCCACCAAACTAAATTGCTACTTGACATAGGGAATGCCAAAGCCTCTCTGGGACGTGTGTCCAGCAGGAACGTACTGCGAGTAGTCATGCTCCTTAAAAATCATCTGTTTTCATTTGTGTCTCTCCATTTCCAGAGCTCCCAACACAGTGGCTCCTCTACCTCATTAGCATCCACCAAAGTTTGCAGCTCTATGGATGAAAATGATGGACCTGCAGAAGGTAACATTTGAAAGCTGACATTTGAAAGCAGTCGATGCACTGAGAACAGCAGTTGTGTAGGACATGAGTCATTCTTCCTGCCGGAGAAGGTGGGAGAGTTGCGGGCTGGATGACTCTCCGTGAGCAGGCTCATCAGTCTTAGCAAACCAGTTAGGTTCATTCCGGATCAGATTTGATCTGGACATCCCTATTCAGCGGTGGTTTTGTTGCAGGATACTCAAGATATTAGTTCTGCAGGTGACGCAGTGCTGACTGGATTATTTCATTCGTTTCTGACTCATCTGGCATGGTACTAAAGAACATGCTGCAGTCCTGGGTCTTTACTCAGAAATTATGAGTCTCCCCCCGTGCTAAGGCTTTGAGCAAGCCGGCTAAGGGACAACGTCTGCTCAAATACTGCCAGTTCACACACGCACGTACACAAATATAGGTGTATGTTCCCGTCTGACAGTAACTCTTTGTGCTGCCTGTGAATTCAGGCAAACCCCAGCCGCCTTGTATCATAACATTCACTTTTCATGCTAAACTGGAACAAAGGACAGATAAAGATGCAGTTAAAAGCACGGTCTTAAAGAGTGTAAATTCAAGTCACATTTTTGAGAGGCATCTTTTTTACTTTACAATATTTATATAGTAGTTTGCATCAGCTGCAGTTGACAGTCAGCTTTTAGAGGCATGTTAGGTATTTGTAACACGCTATTTCAAATACATTTAAAAATAGTGGTACGTGAATGAGCACTAAAACACATGAAACAACAAACTTTTCTTGTGCTTAGACACTGTGTAATGCAATTTTACCTAAACATCTGGTGCCCAGGTTGCATGCGAGGTAGTATTATTGAGAACATTTGTTTAAAAACTAAATATTTAATATTGGGGGAGGGGGAGAACTAGCACTTAGCACATGAGGAGTTTTATGGATGTCTCAGTTTACAGGATGTAATAAAATAAGTGCTTGAGTGTTGGACTTCTTTGGTACATATATTTAATCATGCTGTGTCAAGGAGCGCCAGCCTTTTTTGGAGGCTGTTCTGCGCTTGTGCAGATCACAGAGGCCTTTTCATAATTAAAGAAATACAATTTTGGTTTTGTCCCGGGGGCATATTGCAATGGGAATGGCAAACTGTGCAACACTCGAATGATGGTATGTTTGAGCCCCTATAAGTCTTATTTTTCATTATTGTATCTGTGTGAAACCTGTTGAGTATATACAATGTCAGCAGCATGGTTTCACTGTACAGTAAGTGAGATACCGACTCTGAATGGTTTCCAGGCTCCTAAACCTTAGACTTAAGATGCATGTTATGTGCAACATCTGTGTTTCCTTCACTAACAATAAAAATGTACTAATGATTCTTTCAGAAGTGTTGGAGGAAGGTTTCCAGGTTCCAGCATCGATAGCAGAGCGATATAAAGTTGGAAGGACTATAGGAGATGGAAATTTTGCTATTGTGAAGGAGTGTATAGAAAGGTGAGGAGAAAAATATGCTTATTACTGTAAAAATAATCATTAATGTCACGCTTTTTTCTAGATCATGCATTTATTTGTAGAATATAGGATGTGTGATAAGGAAATGTCTCAATGCCAGATGGAAAAACTAGACTAGTGCCCTCTAATATGAAAAAAGGAGTGAGTCCAAGGGACAATCTATGAATTTCATTCTTTGTGGGTTTTATATGGTTTTTTTTTGCTGCATTTCACGTGATTTTACCAGTTCTTTGTGTTAAATCTTTCTCGTTACACTGAAATAACGTCTTTTTTTGCAGTATATTCTTGCAACTCTTCCTTTACATTAGACTGACGAAACATTTCACATGCAGGAGCATTCTGTAAAGAAGTCAGGAAATTTTGTGTGTGCGTGTAGTGGTGGTGGTCAGCACAAAGAGCTGACTTTGAAACCACCTATTCTGCCATCTGACACTGAGGAGAAATCTCTTCCATGTTTATCTTTAATTAAATGAGCATCTGTCTCTTGCTGGCCTGCTTTATGCCATTATATGAACTCCATCGAACTGTAGGAGCCTGCGCTGCAGGCATCAAAATCTAACTTCTTCAGTGTCCTTTACTGTTAAAATTTGAGAACAGTCACCCTTAAAGACTGATTTTAGACATCCACTCCAGATTAGAGAAGGCACAAGTCACCTCAAATGTCGGTGTTGCTGAAAGCGTCCAGGTTGACTAGCTCAGGTGTTGGCTTCTAAATCTGGTCAGACAGGTCATGAACCAGGTTTGAAGTGGCTCTAACTACCGTGAAGAGTGTAAAAAACAGAGAACAAAGACAGAAGTGCTCTGAGCAGAACTGCAGGTGCCTTTTCATGGTGGTGTTAAAAATATAAGAATGTGGATTAAAAAAGACAGAAGGTACTTGTATGTGGAATGGTTGTAAGATTGCTCGTGTTAGGTAATAGCAGTGCAGAGAAGGCAAAAAACTGCCAGAGCTAGAGATGTCCAAAAGAAAGAACAGCAGAGATATCAAGGTCTGATAACAAAATTCCATGAATGAAGTTTTATATCCCCTACTACCATAACCTAGGGAGGAGACTCTAACAGAAGACTGTAACCTCACCTTTGGGCTCAAAGAAAGAACTTTTGTTCTTTAGCCTGTAAGAGTGTGATATAAACCCTAGAGAGTAAGTCAAGATTAAATCTCATGGCAGATGATGATAAATTAGCTTCGCTGATTTTAAAATTAGTGTCATTTTGGAAAAAGACAGGTCCCAGTCTGCATCTGGCTAGTCGGAGACCATGCAGACAGCTGTTGGGGAAAGGGGGAAGAGTGGATTTTGTATCAGCTGACAGTGTGATTGTGGGACTTGGCCAAAGCTCTTGTGAGGCCTTTCGAGCTCCATCAGAGTGAGTTTGTGGTGGAGCTGGTCATCCGGAGGGCGATAGCTGTTCAGATCAAACCCCAGGGTCCGAACGCTGAACAGGGGAATATGGAAACCTAAAGGAAGCAAAGCTAAACAGTCGAAAACAAGAAAGCATGGCCCCCTATGGAGGGGTATGACTGATGAAAAACAGGAGTGAAAACATGTAACTAAGAAGAGAGAAAAAGGCAAGCTAAAAGTCAAGTGAGTAGCGACTGAGAGAAACAGATTACAAGGCAAAATAAAAAAAAGGTTGAGGTTTTCATACGCTGCCATTCAGCAGAAAATACCAGTTGTGCTGTGAGACAGTTGAAATGTGCTAGTGCGCATTGTACAACTCTGTCTCACGCTGAGAGAAAAGACATGAGCAGAATTACATATAGGTTCCACCACACCTAAAAATAATGCTGATTACAATATCCTTGAGAGTTTAGATGAAAACTGTTTCCTGTCCTCTGTATCCTTCTGGTCCCAGAAGTATCCGATAACACAATGTGTCTAGTGAACATGTGCTCAGATAGCCTGATTGCACAAAGATTCCCAGATACATACTCTTATGGTCTCTGAGTGATACCATTCCATAGATCCCATTCATATCAGAGAGTTACTACTTTGGGAGAGCTTGAAAATTAAAGCAGAATTATTTCTGTTGGTCTCCACTTCTAAAGCAGTATACCCTTGCCATCCCAAGTGTGGAAGGAGAAATTAAAGGCTTGGAGGGTAAATTAAAGCCAGTACATGTGAAACCCCTTGAAAAACACTCTTGATAGTCTTTCTAAGTGAAAAACACCTCACTTCAAAGCCTGATATGCCCATCATTTGCAGAGCCAGAATTGATGGGGTGATACTTGGGACAGAGGACTTTTCCACTTTCTTCTGACGTACGATTCCTGTGTGAGTTAGACTTCAAAGGAGTAGCACCATGAGGTGTTAAGCAAGTAGGAATGGGTCTCGTTACACGTCTTCACTGATCACATGGATGCTTCTCCGTAGCTGTGGAGACCAGCCCGTGTGCAGTGGTTGGACACTCTTCAAATGGATTCACAGGTGTTTCCCTCTGACAACAAACAGTCCAGATAATAGAAACCGAAAACGATCTTCAAAATTTTCACGTGGGAACTTCTAAACTGCATTCTGTGCATCTGTGAAGGTGCGCGCGCACACACACACACACAGATATAATTAATGCTCACAGTAAAATAATGAAGATAGATGTTTGTTTCCAGTGCAGTGGAAATCTCTGTGAACTTTGCAAAAGGTTAAAACAGCCGTGGAGCGTGGCACGGAGCCCTGTTATGAACTACAGGTCTAACTCGGTGCCCTGCGTTAATGCTCTGGGTCCGGACTTTGATCCAGCCATAACGTGTTCCCTACTTCGTGTGGCACCTATTTATTGTTTGGGTTGAGTGATGGGTGAGAGGTGATATGCTTTTTTCACCATGAGTTTCTGGCATGGCCGTGTGTGTTTTTTTGACAGGCGTGTAAGCTGCAGCGCTGCTGACAGCCTGCGGTTCTGCAGCTTTTTAGGGGAAAGGATTTGCATTATCTTAGCTTTAATTTTCTTTTTACCAAAACAAAGAGCAGTCAGAGTTGTCATCTGCTCGTTACATATCTGCTCCATCATCTGCACAATTTGTCCTGCGGTGTTTTTATATGTGTTCATTTTTAACTTTCAGATACTTCCAAATTCTGACATTTCCTCACTAGCTCAGATTTCCCAGTGTTTTGGAGTACATGGAGTCTCCCATGGCCAACAAAAAACATCAATTTCCTTTCTCATGACAGAAAGGAAGCATTCTTAGGGCAACCAAGCAGCTTGAAAGAGACTCCTATTGCAAGAGGGCATATTTTGTCAGAGTTTGAACACCAGATATCCTAGTTTCTAACATTCCTTCTTCTACATCCTCCTTCCATTCCCCCAAAATAATGTCCATACCTCTGCCTGTCGCCTCACTGCTAGGCACCATTTTGGTAGCCACCAAACAGCAGCACTGGGAAGGGGCACCCCACGTGGAGTGCAGCCCATTTCAGGGGGCTGTAGCATTAAACCCCTTTGTGGGGGAGTACAGAAATGACAAGTTCTTAGTTTTTCTTTGCCTAAGTCTTGAACAACCATGCTGTACTTTTTTTCCCAAGTCGTAAACATCGTCATCCGGTGGGATTTCTTTGCACAGTCTTTTAACTGATGTCTTCATACAGACTGTCTTTGCTCCCTGCTGACTTGGGAACTCAAACAGAATTAATATTTTGGGGTTTCTTTTTCTTTTTACTAAAGTCCCCATCTTCCCTTAAATTAATGCCTAGTGGTACATCATTGCCAGAGGAGGTCTCCATGAAAGCAGTGCTTTCTGTTTACGACTCACTTTGCATGTCCTCCTTGACAGGCTGTACGCACTTTTAGGCATGTTCGTTTCCTTATTTAACTTACTATATATCAACTTAATGTATCAATTTAACCATGTTTTGCTAAATGAAGAATAAAAAAAAAAATCACCCCATATGCTTGAGAAGTTGTTTTTATTTTTTAACCAAATATATGCCTCAGGGCAATGTGTTAGACTTCTGTAAACTCTTTAGATTTTTATTAGGAAACAAAAGCATTTCAGTAAGAGCTTTTTGTTATGTTATCCATTCTTCATTTAACCTTATAGTGAAACTAAAGCTTGTGAACAGAGCTTCTCGGTATCATCCTTACAACCATGTTTTGGTTCTGTAACTTGGTTAAGAAATAGAAGTTGATATTGTGAACTTCTCTGCAAGCTTAGTTTTCTATGTTAGCATTCTATATAAAAAAATATCTATGTATGTGGTAGTGATAAATATTATATGGCTTCCAAAAAAACCCACCTAAAGGGAAATGTGTCCTCATCCTGAACTAATTCTCTACAATTTCTCACTGTCTGATCCTTTCATATTCTGTCCCATAAACATCAGATTTAACTCTGCGAAGTATCATATACTTACTGAATACATAAAACAATATTCCAAGGACCGACTTTTTTATCTTAGCGGTTGTGAGTGCTAAGATAAAACAAAAGACTTTTCATTTTAAGTAAAAAAAAAAAAGAAATGTATTTTCCATGGCTTCTTTTTTTTTTTTTAAAAGAAAACAAAACTTTTTGGTTTTGAGAATATTTGGATCTGTAAATACTGTATAATGTTTTTACATAAAATTGCAGAAGAAAGAACAAATACCACTACAAAATGCAAAAATCAAGTGATTTTGTTTCAAAAACATTGAAATGTCTTCATTTTTTAAAAAAAATGCTTAATGCTTTTTTCTCAGGCACACGTATTCAATAAACTTGGCTCAAGTTCACAATTCCAGACAGACCCAAGCTTCATTTCTTGACAAAACAAATACTTAAATAAAATTCTTGCCCAGACCTACTGTGCTCAAATGACAAATAGAAACTTGACTGAGAAAAATATTTAATGTAATTGAATATACAATTTTTTCTTTTCTTTTTCCTCAGATCAACTGGTAGAGAATATGCTCTGAAAATAATCAAAAAAAGTAAATGTAGAGGAAAAGTAAGTACAAAAAAATCAAATGAGACCAAAATATTTTATTTTTTTTCAAGAAATATTGTGTGAGAGATAACTTTGTGAAGCTGTTGGTATTTGTTTTCTTGCTGGCAAATGATAGAATCTTTTTGGTTGAAGCCTTTGCCTGCCCTCCAGAGACCCTTGGAGTATCAGTATATAAGGCTGCAATGTGCCTTTCTAGATGTATGTTGCTGATTCCCCAGTTGGCTGGTTGTGTGTGGGTACACTCATTCCCCTTGCTCTTTAATCCTGTAATTGTGTCCTCTAGCTTTCATAATCCCAGATATTACAGAAAATGGAAAAATAGTACTAGTAATTATAAAACCGGTCACTATGTCTAAACAGTATGCAAGGTTAATCAAACTGATATCAGTTTTATAGTAAGTGAATTTCTGCTACCTTTTCAAAACTATAACAAAAGGTCCTCTGAGAAGATGCTAAAGTATTTTAAATGTAAAAATTCTGCATTAGAGAAGAAATTTTAGAAGCTTCCATATTTAACTTTTCGCTGTATCAGAAACATGTCTTTTCCTCTATTTCTTTTTCTATGTTCTCCTCTCTGTTCTTCTTTCAGTTATCACAATGATGATGTTTCTAGATGTGTCCCTTCCATATTGCTGGAGGCACCGTCTGTTACCTTCTTTTAAAAAAATGAATAATCCATGCAGGTCCCAATTCTATCTGCATTTTCCACTGTGCAATGGAGGTGAAAGTATTTCCCACCAACCCATAGTCATTAAAGATTTCTTTTGTGTGGCAGGAACACATGATCCAGAATGAGGTATCTATTTTAAGACGAGTCAAGCATCCCAATATTGTACTTCTGATTGAGGAGATGGACATGCCAACGGAGTTGTACCTTGTCATGGAACTTGTAAAGGTGAGTATTTTGGAGACAAGCTGCTTGTCAAGGGTTGTTTCAACCATATTGAGAAATTTCATCGGTACTAAAGCTTACTAAACATCATGGAATCATAGAATCATTTAGAAAGGGAGGGGTCTCTGAAGGTAGTCTTCTCAAGCACCCCACTGAAAGATGTGTAACTGTCAGATTTTTTTTTTTAGTTTTCAAATATTTCAAGAATTAACTTTCCGTAAGCCACACGCAGAAGTGCTTTGTGGACAGTACTTCAGAGATCACCATTTTTATTTGCTCCCTCAAAAGAAGTCTTTCTAAAAAGTTTTATCTGAAAGAAATGCATCTGCCTTGAGGTGAATAGAAAATACGCCCAGTCCAAATAGCCATGAATATCAGCCTTCAGAATTTAATTTTCTTTGATAAAATAGAGTTTAATTAAATTTTATTAATTTATGATAAATTTAAATAATACTACCTGTCTTTTTTCTATACTGGTTTACATTAAGACATTGTCAAGCTTGCGTCCTTGATAATAATCTAAATTTAAGCTGGAGAAGGGGACAAGTGAAAGAGAAAAACCTTCTATTTAAAGCATGGTTCTATTCTGAAAAGTAAGCTTGCAAATGCAATATTTTACCTTTGAGACCCTATTTATTTTTCATTGTAACTTCCAGATCGCATGCATTTATTTCACTGACTGATGGAAAATGGGTTATGAAACTCAGACCAGGTCATGCCTTGCCCCCATACTGTCAATGGTGCAGTGTGAGAAGCATGAATTTAGCTCTCGGTTGTGGTGCTAATACATGAATATGTCACTGTGCATAAAAGGTGGTAAAAATACATTTCAGTAAAGGTGGTAAAAATACACTTCAGTAATTGGTACAAATTAGGACAGAAAACCACAGAGGACATTTTGTCCTCCATACTTACTTTAAGAGCATACGTCTGTTTTTCACATGCACTAATGGGATTAGCGATTCTCTTTCCTTTCACAACTATTCTGTGGGAAGAAGATCTTTCCAGCAACCACCTCCATTTCTGTGTATTGATCAGCTCATTCTCCTAGGGCAGCCTATCATGCCTACACCTGGGAAATTCATTGTTTTACGTGTTTAAGGACAAAGACTTCAGTAAAGCTGTGCAGCAGCAGCATTTGTGTGCAGGCCAGGTGTATATGGGCACTCAACACTTCTGAGCAAATCAGGCAGTCTGAACCCTGGCAGCCAGATCACTTCCAATTGTCTGAAGAAGTGTGGACACCTTCAGTAGACATCCTCTGTATCCGTGGTTAGAAACAGGCACCACAAGAGGTCGTGAGAGAAAGCAGTTCTGGCAAGCAGGATTGTTATCTGCTTTGCTCTGGTTGTAGGTGGAGTTTAAAGGATGCTCTTAGTGTAGGCACCTCACTGAGATATTAGATAGGATGATCGCAGCTCCAAGTGTTTTTTCAAGAGCGCCTCAATTGCTGGGCTGGAATATGAGAGCAAGGAGAATGAAAAGTGTGTTGTTTCATTCCATATCCTCCCTGCTCAGTGGCAGCAGCAGTGACACAAGCCATGTTCCCAGTACAGAGCTGGGAGGCTGTCAAGGGTGCCCACAGATTTTCCCTGTTCTTGCGGCAGGCCGGGGCACCGTTGTTGTCCATGAGAAGCTCAGGCCATGCACCACAGCTGAGGAAATGGCAACATTGTCCTCTTAGGTTTGAGTCTGCCCATTGCCCTACTTGATGTGAGTGGTGCTTTGGAGCTTGTGGTCCAGCTAACCCACCTCCAAACCAGTCCACCACCTCCAAACTCTGAGGAAGCACACTGGGGCATGCTGGTGGCAAGGAGCTGACAGGGTACGCGGCATCCCCATTTAGTCTCTGATGGAGTGGTTAAATCCTAAGAAAATAAGCAAAATAGTAGCACTCTTCCACATCATGAATCGCTCTGTGTAACCAGTCCCAGAAGAATTTCCCCACCTTCTTCACACTCACAGCCCCATCTTGCATTCAGGAGCGCAATGTGAAATAGCACAGCTTCAGATCAGATGCTATTAGCCATCCAACGCTATTTTTATCATAATTACTGGTCTTTTCTATAATAAGTGAGCTTGTTCTGAGATCTGTGTTACTGTAGGTTTTTCAGTGTCCATGAGAGCTTGTTCAAAGGTACCTCAATACTCTTGCACAGCGTTGTAATCCAGCATAGCCACAGCTACAGCTTGCATTGACAAATCCTTCAGCTTGGGCCCATGAGGTGTGCTAAGAAGTAAAAGCTGTGTCTTGTCTAACATGCCAAGACGTAAGCACGTAACTGGTTTTATGGGTGCAACCTGCTGTGCTATTCATACTTGAAAAATGTTCAAACTGCAGTCTCCGGTGGATTTTTCATCAAAGTCCTACTCAGATAAATAAGAGAGGAGGGGACCGAAAACTTATATAACTAGCCTAAAAGATGTATATAAAGAAAACCAACCATTATATTCACGTTCTGGAAAAACCTGGGGGTTTGCACTCGTTCTTCTTTACTCTTCAGGATTGCTGCACATTACAAGATATTTATGCCTTTAGCTATGCTATAGAAGGGCTTTCTACACATCTCTGTAGGTCAGATATCCTAGAGAGCACTGTTTCTACTTTTATGTAGAATAATAGAAGAAATTTAGAAGAAGTATCCTAAAGCTAGGAAGTTAACTTTGCTTCTTTGAAGCAAACATCTATTCCTTAATATTTAATTGGAAAAAAACAAACAAACAAACAAACTTGTTATACTATCTGGGCACCAGGAAAGGTATTTCTGGAAAGACATTAATTGCTTATTCACCAGTTGCTGACTACGACCATTTCATAGCATGCACTGCTAGAATTGATTAACCATCTGCTAGTGACTGACTTTTGAGGACCCAGCTTTAAATCAAACGCACAGACAGGAAAGAAATTCAAGGAGAAAAGGCTTGATACTGCAGAGTACGGTTTCAGTTAATACCACCCTGCATTAATTGGCAGTAACATGTTTGACATAAGTGGCTGCTGCAAGTACTGCCCTCACCTCCTGGCAGATAGGCCATTCATGGCTTTGTAAAGTGTAAGAAAAGGCACTTCATAAATATAAATATAAACACATTGCAAGTGGTGCTTGTAAAAGGAAGCAAGGACCTGGTTTCTGGCACGTTGCCTTTTTACACAGCGAAACAAAATTGTTATTCAAACCTAACAGGGGTTTGGCCAATTTAACAAGCAAGATTTATTGCAGAGTTTCCTTTACTGCTCCAGGATATGATTTCACTTTTGCAGAAGAAAAGAGAGATTATATCATTTACATAACAAGGTAATAAATAAATAATTGGTTACTGTACTTCCAAGTGTACTTCCTCATGTGCACAGATGATAAAACTGCATTCAGATGTTACTGGTCCCATTTCACTCCAGAAGAGGGGACTGAAGACTGAAATGTCAGCCTGAACTCACCCCTTGTGCCTGAATAAATGATAGTGACCTGCTGTGTGAATTGGCTAAGCAGAACCTTGCAGGTTGAAGTGCTCTTCAGGGAAAGGGAAGTCTGAAAACAATTCCGCCTGATATAGCTGTCAGCTCCATTAACTCTTTGCAGGCTGTCACCTCTCTTTTAACTGCAGAGAATCCCACAGGCTAAATATGTGTTCTCTTTTCTCAGCAGGCTACCCGGTAAGAAATTTTACCAAGTAAAGTGGGCTGCTTAACTGGAGAAAATTATTCTGCTTCAAATTGGCTTGACCGTCTGTTACTGTGCTCTGCAGCCTCTATATTTTTCTGGGTTTAGGTTTCTCTTGTGTGTTTGTTCTCTTTCTTCTGACTTTATGCCAAAATTTTCGTTTCTTTTTTTGAGGTTCAGCTTCTTTCCTTCTCAGCCCTCCCATCTCAGCTCAGGCTGTTTTCTTTGTTTGGAGGCAGATCCTTTGCTGATGTTATTGACACTTCTTCTGAACATCTGGAAGATATTAGATAAGACCAAAGATCTGTCTAATCCACTACCTCATGTTAAAAAGCAGCTGGTACAGGGGCTTCACAGGAAGGAGCTTAGGGATGATAGATTATTTATCCGACATATTTTGCCACATGCTGATATCTAATACGTAGGGATCAGTTAATGCCATGAAGTACATAGTATTGTACTTTTGCCAAATATTTGGCCTTTCTCTCTAATCCTATATCTGGTTTAGTTTGGCCTTTTCTTCCTCCTTTCCCTTGACACTGTGTATCTTGATGTATCTTGATCAGTCACCAGCCAGAGCAAGAGGTTTTGATGTGGTCCAGATTTGACAATGGTTGGCTGCAAGCGGTTTCCAAAGCTGGTATTTTGCATCTATAGTGGGAATAAACCTGCTCTGGCAGACTTCAGCTGCACCTCGACAATGCAAAATTTTGAATAGTTTGTTTGGGCTTTTTTGACAAGTAATGTCTGTTTTCTCAGGCTTGAGTCTTTGGTGGTTGTCTTTTGCTACTTCTTTCTCTGTAGCCATGATTCCTGGAAAAAATCTTTTTTTTTTTTATTCTTCCCCCTCCTCCTTTCTCATAGTGAAAACAGTGTTTACTCTGGAGCTGAGCCTTAAGAAAAAACACCAAATAACTTCAGACTGTTCATAAAATCAAGAGAGTTGGAAACACTGGGATTCCTCTGCTGCCTTCAGAAAATATCCACTTTTTCTTTAAAACACAGTGTCCAGTGATATATTTTGTTCTGTGGTGTTTTGACTGCAGCAAGGATTTTTTGCATTGTTTTTGCAGAATTATCATTTTCCTCCTCTTTTTTTTTGTCGGTTGGTCTGTGTTTCCATTATGGTGATGCTTTGATTTTGGCCAAAGGCCGAATACCTTTGAGTAATATCTCTCAGAAGGTGTCTGTTTTTCTCCTCCACTCTGCCAAGCTTCCTCCTTAATCTCTTCTTTAAACTTTTTTTTAGTCTTTCTCCAAGCACTTACATGTTCTTCTTGCCACTTGCCAGCTCAGATCTGGAAACGCAATCCAAATGTCATGGCTGCCTCCGATCCTGGTGAAGATCATTGCAACTTTGAGGACTTATTTTCCTCCTTTTCTTCTTTCTTGCTCTCTTCTTTTCTTGTTTTTCTTTCACTGGCAGTAGCTTTTAGCTGAATAAGACAGCACAATGAGCTGGAAGTGGGACAAGGTGCCATCTGTGTTTGTAGCTGTGGTGAAATACTAATGGTAATTCTTAAGTGTCTTCCAGTATGATTGTCTGACATATATGCTGGGAAGTTCTTCAGTATTAGCTGCAAGTAGAGCATCACACTACCAAAAACTTCACATCTTGTGTAGAGAAAGTGGTTTCTAAAATCCATGTTTTCAAAGTTTTATGAGATGGAAGCAGACTTTTAAAATACACTAGCAGTGATGGCAGGCAGCTGGTTTGAATTTTACTCAGAATGTCTTCATTCTTCTTGAGTTCGGTCAGACTTTGGGCAAAAATTTGAAGTCAGGCTGTTTGTGGTTATAATAGAGTGGCAAGGGTTGGTACAAGACGTCGCGACAGGCGAGAGTATACACATGCCAGAAGTTTGCAACACGGGTTCTGAACGCACAGGTCGGCAGGTGCTGGACATGTTACAGAAGCAGCAGCAGGTAGGAACGGTTCGTAGTGGAGACTCCGGCCTCTTGGCTGACCAAGCAAACCACAACGAAAGATTCTGAATTACTGGTATGTTCAGCTGCCATTATGGGGATGTCATCACAGTATCCAGAGTTTATAGCTGTTGGGAAACTGTACTGCTCCTCCCTCCTCCTCCCCTATAAATGGTGGTCCTTGATCATCCCTAAATTTTTCAGTAATTTCACAAGCAGTGTTGCTCATATGCTGTGGTCATTTTGCTCCAGGGAGGAGATCTTTTTGATGCTATTACTTCCACCAACAAATATACAGAGCGGGATGCCAGTGGGATGCTTTACAATCTGGCCAGTGCCATCAAATATCTTCACAGCCTGAACATTGTCCACAGGGATATCAAGCCAGAGAATCTACTGGTAAGTGAAAATTCAACTTTTGGTGTTGTTGATAACTTGGGAGTGTGAGAGAAGGTCTGCGCTTCTCCCTCCCTACACACACATCCCAAGTTTGTTTCAGTCTTTGAAGTCATTGGTTTTTTAATTTTAACCGTAGTGTTATAAAGCTCTCCTAAGAATAACAGCTGTCACAAAAAGTACAGTAACATCAGCTGGTATGTCTAGACTGTTCCCCAGGACACAGTGACAAAGTTGTTCCAGCGATCACTAGAAGTGACCTTTCAATGAGCCGCAGTGTAATTTCAGGCTTCTCGTAAACACAGAGGTATTCTGTCCTCGATAGACCATTCTGTACTTCTGCGGCTGCCTCAGTAATTAGCAGCAGTTCAGTTTTACAGACATGGTAGCTATCAGTGTTGTGCCCTAATCGTGTAGTAAGTCAGGGCAGAACCAGGAAGAGACTTCAGAGTCCTTCCTTTCCCTGCTGCATCTCCCAAATAATCCCATAGCACTTTTTATTAATACACTTTAGTAAAAAGCCTGACTCTTCCTTTTCCTGACTGAATCTATATGAGCCCTATCCTCTGAAGACAATGAAAAACATACCCTGGCAATTAGTCCTTCTGAGGCTTTTGCACTCTTCAATGCAGCAATTGTGTTCTCCAACTGACTTAGTTTTATGTCTTCTGAGAAATTAATTTTTCCTGATTATTTCACTGTTCTCTGAGTTTTCCCAAGTTTGCTGATATGTTCCAGTATCAAGATGTCCTAATTCTCCACACATTCTGCAAGCGTAAAACAATGTTTAAGATTATATACCAGTTGTCTCAGCTGTGTGCTCTCTGCCATGACTAAGTGCATTTATTCCTGCTTGATACTGAAGAGGTTTTATGGAAAAGTTGACTCGAGTAGATCTTACTCAACTTCCAGAGAGTGGGATTTTTACAGTAGAGGTTCCTCTAATGACAGGTGCCTTTGTAGTTCTGGGTGAGGAAGCAGCTTGCCCTCATTTTCCAGAAACTGCTAAAAACATGTTGAGTAGAAGTTTCACTAGACACCAGCGTAGACACTAGCAGTTGGTACTCCTTTCGCAGCCCTTGTACTGGTGTTCGTAGATGGCTGCATGCAGACGGCATGGCAATCACATGCCAGGATTCATTAATACTGTGACTTGGAGAGTGCAGGAGGGTCTTGGTCTGGGGCAAGGCTTGCCCTGCTGCTGTCTTGACATGTCTCTAAATGCCTGAAGTCTGACAACAGTAGAGTTAAGCTTCTGGAGGAAGAGAGGAAGGTAGGCAGGAGGTGGAGGCAACAGGGAGAGGATTAGATTTGCCTGCCCAGCTGTCTCTGGTAATTACCCACTACCAGGAACGATAACACTGTCTGCATTGTAGCTGAATCATTTCTGAGTGATTTTTCCAGGGTTGTGTGTATATAAATGTCCCAGGTTGATATTGATACTGAGCAGTGAGGATGCAGCACTTAACCTCTTGCAGCATCCTAACTCTCAAAAGCCAACATTTGATTCACAAATTATATTAATTCTCTAAGGTTTATCAGGTCCTGGAAAGAAACAAGCACTGTTTTAGAAAAGTGCTTTGCAACCAGCCTTACCCGAGTTCTGACCCCGTCTCTGACACTGGCTGTCTGTGGCCTTAGTGTCTCTTGACCTTTCTACTTTCATCTTCTTATCTGTCAAATAGAGTGGGTAGTTCCTTATGTCACAAGATTGCAATTAGGGTTATTTTCATGGCATTTATAAAACACTTGCAAAATGCCAGATGGGTCTTAGACTTTCTGTTGTGCAAGACCTGCTACTTGCCTTCTGTAGCCTGCCTTTTGCTTGCAGCTCTGTAACCCTGCACCGAAGTGGTCATGGCTGTATTTTTCCTTTGTTGTTCTTGTGCTGTTGCTTCACGCTGTTACTGTCACGTCTTGCACCTGCAAGCCCCAGTAATGTTGTCACAGCAGGTTCTCCTGGCCACCGATGTGAGAATCTGCCCTTTCCCCTTGCTTTTTTCCTACCCATGGATTGTAGCTTTAGGTTTAGAGGAGCCTTTAACAGGCCTGCCCAAAGCGCTCACTTGGAGCCTCCTTACTGCATCTCTTCCCGGCTCCAGGCAGAGCTTTCCCTTTCACCTCCCTCTTTCTCTCCTTTGATTTCTATTTTCCCCAAAAGTAACTTCCATGCTTAGAGCTGATGTGTACCATCAGCTATAGACCCTGCTGGTAAATCTTCATGTGTGTGGATCTGGCTCAATGACCTACATGCAACACCAGTTATTTCTGTAAGTGCTTAAATATTCCTTACTATCCTCAAGGCATGCAAAGCCCACCTAACAGTCAACTGCCCAAGAGTTTAGGGTATGCTGAATACCTGTGATTTTTTAGCATTTTTTTTGTTCTCTGGAGAGTGTCTTCCATGTTTTAATTGGAACATTTTTCATAATTGCTGCTATTTAGCACGTTTATTTTGTCAGGTCATGGGATGTCTTTATAGCCATATAATAAACCCTAGAGAACAACTTCTCTGACTGTTGCCATCTGCACTCATCACAAGAGCAGCTTAGAAAATACTGACAGTCTTTATAGTAATAGGATACATATGGTGGCACACAATTATGTGTGGCTGCATTCAATTAGTGTTGTACAATTACACAGTTTTATTGCTTAGTTAAAACAGTGAAAGCACTACGTAGTAGGTAATTTGCACTAATCCCCATTTCTTTAATTGCCCTTCAGTATTTAAATGCAGTGGAACACATATAGCATTTGTTCTGAATAACATGAGCATTAAATTATCTTTCACATTCCTTGACTGGCAAGTAACATACCACAGCTTCACATTGGGCTCCTTTTTATGTGGAGTTATAACAGGGTGAGGAGAAGTTACTTTCTTCAATTTTACAAGTCAACCGAAGTAGTTTTCCAAGCAAGGTAATTCCTGGAGACAGATGGAGCAAAATAGTAGAAAATGCAGAGTACCAAACCTTCTGCATTGGTAAATATTGCTAAACAAGCCTTTTCTGTAGTTAATTTCCAGGATATATGAGTCATACAAGGTGTGGTCTGTTGAAGGAGGGAGTTTATGAATGTTCACTAGGTTAACACAGCTCAGAGAGGGCTTTGTACAAGATAACCGCATGAAATAGAATCTGAGATGCTAATTAAACTGGATTCAGCCCTTGATGTCGAAGTGCATGGTTTACATTTTTCAGCAAGTGAATATTTAAAGCTCTAGTCTCTAGCCTTTAATTAAAACTGTTGTTGAAAATAGATTTATAACTGCCATTTCAGAGAGCACTTTCTTTAGTTTCAGGAACCAGATGTATTTAACAATCTGTGTTTTTAATAAAACCATAATTGCTTTTTTTCCAGTGCGTTTCTATAAGCCTATCTTTTTTCTGGCTTAGTAGCAGAGAAATGTGAATCCATATCAAATTGCTGGTTCTCTTAAAGATCCGGTTGTATTATTAAAAATAACATAAGGAAAAGGGATGAATTTTGTGTATTCTGAATGTCTACTTGTGACAGTATCACCTGGTAGCAGGGATTCAGGACAGAGCGGGGTTTTCTCCCTAGACATGACTGACATTAACAAGGGAGAAACCTGGGGGGCTGTATAACAGAACTAGTTGTTATGAGCTGTAGCAGTTCTGTAGCAAACCATAGTGAGAGACTTCAAGATTTCATTTTGGCACCAAGTGAACTGTATAAGAATTGTAGGATCTGTTGCATTTGTAGTATTGTAGAGTTTATTGCATTTTTGTAAGAAAAAAATCTAGGGTTTTCATGTGCAAGCAGTTGTAGATAAATGTGATTTGTGATGTAGGAGTAGCTGGTCAAGATGGGCGTTAAGGATGATTTTGATTTTGTTTGTGAAGTGTGATATCTTCTATTTTTGCACAATGGTACTACTGCTAATTGTCATCAGGATATCACCATTGGTGATCCAGGCTGCATGGAGCTTTGATTTGGGTTGCGAAATAAGAACATCATGCATATATACTTTGAGAAGACCTCCTGTAGACTGTTTCCATTTTTTAAGGTGCTGTTATGGTAAACAGCATTAAATTGCATCACAAACAATTTTGAAACAGCAAGCAAGAACCCAAAACAGCAACTGGATTAAAGAAAGACTCGCAGTCTAGTGGTTAATTCAGTCTTTTTATTTTAAGCATTTTTGTATGTTTTCAGCATTTGCAGGTTTAAGGTTGTGCTTTCACATTGAGCCAGCTTTTAAGATTGTGTATGTTGAATGGCTATTTCCAGCTTTTTTCTGGTGACTTTATCTTAATCTCTCTTTGCACCCATAAAAACCCACAAAAGATCACGTTGCTGCTGTGAAGACCATGTTTTAAGACAGGATTTTCATGTATAGTGATTAACAGCCCTACCTATGTCCATTGATGATGATGGTAACATACCATGAAGACACTGATTGGTATTGAACAGTGGTCCAAGGAGAGGTCAGTGTTTCTAGGTGAAATAGTCCAGCCAGGTTTGCATCTTCTGACTTCAATACGCAGAGAAGAATCTGTTGCTGCTATCGGTGCAGTTGTTGTATTATCTAAGAAGCTGAAATTCCTGTGCAAGCCTTTAAGCTCTGTGCAAGTAAAATGAATAAACTTCAAAACCCTGCTCTGTGAATTGGTTGTCATTGGGGAGGTAACCTAGGAACGTTGCTGCTGGAAGGTCAGACCTTTTATTCTGGGCTTTAGCTTCTAGCATGTAGCATGTCCTTTGTTGGCTGGGTAGCGAGGTAAGTCTTTCCCAAACACCCCAAGTGCATTCAAGGGAAGTTGTCCAAATTTTCTGTGAATTTTCAAAGCATGCAGAGAAGTGTGTTGTAGGTAAGGAGGAGAAAAAAGACTGCAAATTAGAAGGAACATTTCAGGCAGTTAATAAACGATACAGTAGTTACCTTTAACTGTGTTAAACGTTTGAATTTTCCTCTTGATTTAGGTTTATGAACACCAAGATGGGAGCAAGTCCCTGAAGCTAGGAGACTTTGGCTTAGCAACGATTGTGGATGGACCTCTGTATACTGTTTGTGGGACCCCAACATATGTAGCTCCAGAAATCATCGCTGAAACTGGGTAAATCACTTCTAGTGATTATTCATTGAAGTGTACACAAGTGGTGCGTGTTCTCGCCAATGTGCCAGATAGTTCTTGCACTTGAGGATTTTATGCTGCTTTTGCTTGTGTATGATGCATAATCATGGCTCATGGAACAATTAAGTTGGAAGGGACCTCTGGGGGGTATCTTGTCCAAACCAGCGCAGAGCAGGGCCAGCTGTGGAGTTGTATTAGGTTCCTCTGACAGTTGTTGGCCTCAAACTTCTCAGCTTAAAACTGAGTTACTAACTAGCCTTTTGCAGATACAGTAAAAGTAATTCTTAAGCTGCCCCCAGAGACTGCTAACTACCGTTCACTTAATTTTATTTCGTTATCATGCACTGTCCTCTTCTTCTGATTTGTTCCACAGAGTAAATGCCTGCTGGCTTGAGCAGCCTGTGTCACCTCTGCAGGCCTCATGTTGGTAGGCATCACTGTCTAAATCAAGAATACAGCACAACATCTTCTGTGCGCTCCTATATTCTGATCTGATCTGAATTTAAGATGTAAATGTAAAAAAGTTTTGAAAGCAGAATTAAGATAAGTAGTTAGAGAGAGTTCAGAGGAGAATATACAAGAAATTATTAACAATTCTGGAAATGGTTCCTCTGTTCTTGTACTGTAGTTCATAGGAGTCGGATGTCTCTAACCATGTCTCTCACACTTCTAGATATGGCTTGAAGGTGGACATCTGGGCAGCCGGTGTGATTACTTACATCCTGCTCTGTGGTTTCCCTCCATTCCGTGGGTATGGACTCATCTATTCCACCATCTTTGTTCTGTGAATTGGTCCCTGTGCTGCTTTTGCATTAAGCACAGAGATTTCCACTGGAAAAAGTTCTTTTCTCTTAGGTTTTGTTTTTTCCCTTGCTCTGCACAGTAATTTACACAAATCCCATAGATGCCTGTGATTTTACAGTAAAATCTCTGTCTCATGTTTGTTTATTGTAGTTTAAACTTCATTGCATTACAAAACAAGACCCTCCATTACGGGTTCTGGCTGCCTTTGCCTGATGTTTAAAATACGCAGTGAAATAAGCATCTTCTTTCATGGACCAAATACAACATATTTTGTGGTCGGTAAAAGGTAATTAAAATGTAAGCCACTTAGTAAGGACACATCAGATCTTTTCTCCCCCTCAAAGCAATTGCGAAGTTGTTGACAATCCTGAAGAGTAGCAGGTTACCTCAGAAATGATGTACCAACTGCACTTTGTTTTATAACCTCACCATTCACACCCATGGCTGCATGCTTGGGGAGAATCAACAGCTTCCAAAAGCATACCAAGGGATCGCCAATTAAAAGCAATTTCAAGAAGCCTATTGAAACCAGCTCTGGAAATAATTTCTGTGTGGGTTTTGTTGTTGTTTTTGTTTGGTTTTCACTTTACAGAAGTGGAGATGACCAAGAAGTGCTTTTTGATCAGATTTTGATGGGACAGGTGGATTTTCCATCTCCATATTGGGACAATGTTTCTGACTCTGCAAAGGTAGGTTTATATAGTTGGTGATATTTTTTTCTCTGATATTATTCCTGGTGCCAGTATCTGATGAATGTTGTTCTTTCACAGTGCTGTATTTGACATGTTTCATACATCTCCTGCTACACCTATAAATTCCCCTGGGTCACCGAGTATGTTGTTGTTTTATTACGGTCTGTCTGTTAGACTCCAGGTGGTTCTGAAATGGATCCCATCTCTATGTGATGTCTCACACAACAGAAGCACCAGCAGCCCTTATTGATCAAGAATAATTTTAAGTAACTTTGCTTGACCGTACACTTCTTAGCTTGAAAGCTCCCTGGGACTGTGCTTTGTATGTATTTATGATGGGGACCAGGTACCAACCTGGAGCCTTTGAATATTGTATAATAATATTATAGGAAGGCTGTTTTCCCCTTATTAATCCCATTAGATGATATGCTTGTTGTTTCTTTCTCTCAAAGAACAAGGCCCCATATTGCCTTTGACTCCCTGTTGTTGTCAGTGTGGTACAAAATAGAGACAACTTCTGTCCACCAGTTATGGGTCATAGCATCTTGACACGTGACGGGAGAGGTGGAGCGTGAGGTGTGCTAAGGCAGATACAGTACTTTTCAGATACAGATCATGAGAGGGTTCGTTATACTTGCAGAGCATATCAGGTTTTTCAATTCCTACTAGTGCACTCACAGACTTTCTAGGGATCTGGCATTCACTATAGTCATATGTATAAATATATAGAGAGAAGGACATCTACGTTCTGAATCTCCATTCTTTGAAGAGTTGCATCCTGCTTTTACAGAGATGGGGAGGGAGATCAGGACTAGCGTTTTAGAGTGTTAACTAATGAGGTTAACAGATGAGTTGGAAGAAGTCCTCTAAACCACGTAATTGTGTTGTAGCAGGCTTTATTTCCTAGCATCATTAATGGCAACTCTGTGAGTCCTTTGCCAATGGTGTTCTCCTGCGAAACTCCTTCTTCCAAACAGTTCAGTCTAAAATTTCTGTTTTGAAGCATTAGCCTATTCATTTAACTTCTCCTTGTCACTAAGAATTATGAACTTTGGTCTTTGGTGATACCCTTTTATTTGCTGTCATATTGCCATCCTGTTTTCTGTGCATTCCACTCACTGGTGGAATTATATATATGTTTAATTACATGTTAGTTGAAAACTAGGTAATTGTAGAGGAAATCAGAGGATAAAAAATCATGTTTTTAAGTGGGTTTTTTTTTTAATATCTACTATGTCATTTATACAAGAGCGTAAAGTAAAATTCTAGATTTTCTGGCTTTTTTTCCTACAGAGGAATTGGCCTTTGCTTAATGGGAAACTAACCTAATTTCATGCAACCATCTGTTTTGTACATTATGTATTAAGTGCTTTTCTCTTGAACAGTGGCTGCAGAACTGTAACTCAGAACTGTCTTCTAGCTTTTCAAGGTACTGTTAGATATTGATTTAAAAGTTCAGCTTGAAGTTCAGCAGTTCATAGCTGACTTTTTTTTTAATAATCTTAATATATTTCTGCAGTTGGTAGTTCAGTCTCTCTTTGAGCATTCTTACATAATCAGTTGAAGAGCACTTTAGTGAATTAAATGTTGATTTGTTCTTTAAAAATGTTCTTTAAATTTGACGCAGTATTCCATTTCTCAGGAACTTATCACAATGATGCTTCAAGTAGATGTAGATCTGCGGTTCTCAGCCTTACAAGTTCTTGAGCATCCATGGGTTAATGTAAGTATTTTCAGGCTTGTAGATGCAGCTTGTAATGTGGCAACTTTGAGCTCTTTTCTGTCAAGTTCTTTCTATGCCCTTTTGGAGCCAGCACATTCTAAAAATGCCACAGGTTTAAATGGAAATAAGCTGGATTACAGGCTGGATTAGTATATCATGCATACCTTGGAGTATCCGCTATTTTATGCATGCTCAGCTGCATTTTCTCTGAAATATTTTGGGCCAGGTTTTCAACAAATCTCAAGCACACTTGACAAATTTATACCTCTAAAAATCAGCTTGTGGGTTCAGTGACACATTTTGCCCTCCTAAAATCAGATGGACTCAAAAATCTGACAGTCATGATTAAGAGCTATTGAATTATAGTCCATAGTGTTAAGCCTACTTGATCCAGCATGAAAAAGGGAGACTTTTAGAATCATATTTAGCTTCTGATGTTGAAATATACATATATTTATGTGCAGCCATATCCATTTAATCAGAGTTACCATGAAATAGCTATTTATGTATCCTGGTTTATCTCCAAGTGACTGGACATTTGCCATAAAAGTGGTAATCAGTGAGGTGGCATACAGATATATCTGGCAGAGAATAGAGAGAGTTCTCTTTAATTAATGTTAAGACAAGGACACTACTTCATATTTGTTAATTATTTCAGACTATTTAATATCTCTTCAAATATTTGGATGACGAGAAGGAAAGATTGGACAAAATCCTGACTCAAATTCGGAAGGGAAGATTGAGAAAAGAAATAAAACTGGGACAAGCAGAAAAAAAAATTAAAGGAGGAAGAAATAATGTTTCACTTTGTTTGTTGCAAGTATGAGCGTGCAGTCCTCACTCAAATACTGTTTGGTCCCTCAGCTGCTGTATCCAAAATCTTTTTTTCACTAGAACACTGTTCTAAAAATTCAACGATATAGTAACCTCAAATGTTAATCTTTTTTTTATGTAAGTGTCCTCCATATAGTCCAGAATAGTGGTGATCAGTCAAGTGTTTACCAAGTATATGCTTTAGTCTTGGAGTCTCCCTTATTGCCCAAACCTCTTTTTTTTTAAATTGTAAGTGCTATTGTCGTGCAGAGCACTTCTGCAGTGCGCGAAGAGTGCAAGGATCCAGGAAAAAGTCTGATGAAAATCTTTTCATTTTTAAGATGACATTCAAGTAGCTGAAATATTAATTTTCCTTTGTGCCAGGTGCTGTCCTTGGACATAGTGTTCTGTCATGGTTTATAATGACTTTTGGTAACTGAGGTGTCTCTGTCTCCACGGGAGGAGGACGGGTGGGGATTTCTGGAGTGCTGCTGAGGAAAAGATGGAAGTGACTGATCAGAAGCCACAAAGGGGCCAAGTCACCCATGGTGTCAGTCTGCACACTGCTGCTGAGGTTACTGAAACATCACTTGTTTACACCACATAAGGATGTGGTCACTAATCTTCCTCTTTTTCTGAAAAAAATACATTGGAACTGGTAATGCTCCCCCGGATGCCTTATTTTTTTTTTTTGCTTCAGTTATACCATGATGTATTTTAAGAAGCCTTTTTAGAGAGGTGTGTTAAGAAGAAGAGGTGCAGCTCTGTGTCAGTAACATGATGGCGATGGTGTGCAGGTGACATGAAGGTCTACTCCCTGCCCTCGCTAGTGCCTGCTGATGGAGAGGGACAGGGAAAGGGGATAGGGGGCTAAAGTCTTTTAACACTGCAGAGCTCTGCTAACCAAACCTCAACTCTGGTTACTGAAGCACCCTGACAAATTCCTGGGTTTCTGTGCAATAAGTTAAAATGTGGAGCCCTTTGCCAGAGGGTGCTGTAGAGGCCAAATATAAATGGATTCAAAAGAGAGTTTGATACATTTTTGGAGGATGAGCCCATAGGTGCCTATTAAAAGTGATGGACTGGATACAACTCTTGGCTCACAAAGTTCTTAAGTACTTGGTTGGCAGAAACTGGAGGATATACCAGGGAAAGTTCAAGATCTTGTCTTTGTTAAATGTACTATTTCATAAACAGTGACTATGCTGCACTATTGGAAACAAGATACTGTGTTCAATTCACCTTTGGTCTAGCTCTGCTGCATTTGTCATAGTTTTAAGCTGATTATAACTCTTTGCAATCAAAACCTGTAGCCGTTCTGTCCATAAATAAGTGAAACAAGTATTTCATGACAGTTCTGTGATTTCTTCTTTTCTGTCGAATTGCTGCTTTTAGCAACTGGGACGAATCAGTATTTTGTCTTCAGCAGTACACTAACAGTAGTTCATAATGCAGATCAAAACCTCTTTTGAATTCTCTTATGTATGCTCCAGATTTTTTTTTTCTGGAAGGAGAAAGGCCAGCACTGGGACCAGTTCAGGGAAGTGCTTGATTGAGTGCATTCCAAGCATCGCTCCGATTTCAAGGCATCACACATGGAAACGCTCAATATTGGGCATAAAATGAACTAGATGGCACTAAAATCCTAGTTCACTTCGGGAGAAATAAGAACATGGCTGACTTGAAACAGGTGCTTAAATGCCTCTGTGAAAAAGGGTGCTTCCCTGAAGTGGGCCTGAGAAGCGTGCAGTGGACAGCCTAGCAGGCACAGCCTGCGTGGGTATGGAGGCAGAACGGTATCCGGGTGTCGGATCTGACCTCACGTCCCCATACCTCCATCACCAGTTTGACCATCTGGGAGTCTGTCACATGACCTTCCTGTACCTCATTTTCCCAGCTTCAGCACAGGGCATTAATATACTCACCCCTCTTTATAAAAGGCTCTGCGATCTATGTGTCGTAATTACCTGAGCAACTATCTACAACTTTCGTAAAATACTGTCTTTCTGAGAAAGAAAGTACACAGAGTTTTCACCTAACGCTCTGTTTTCCAAGAGAACCTGCTTAAATGCTTGTTCATGGCACCAAATGCTGGACTTTACTTTCTTTTTTCTTATTTCAGTTTTGAGTCTATTCATAGGGAGTTAAACTTGCAGCTAAAATACTGGAGAGGACAGATGGCTTGAAAAGCAGGCATGTGTTCTCTTCGACAGTTTTAAGAAACATTTTCTCTCTTTGATCAAACCTTTGGTAGAAGTGTTGTAACTGCTTACACTGTATAAAACCATTTTGTAGATTGTAAATAACCATTCTACTTTATAGCTGCTTACTATGTGATTACTTGGTAAATTGCTGAGATTCCTGGAATGTGCTTTGACAGTTTCAGTAGGAGCCAACCCTCATTTCAGTTTCAGTTTTTGCTATAAAAATAGCTGGAATCCTCTTGGAAACTGCAAAACTTGTTATGGTCAGAGTCAGACCAGTAAAGCAGTTCCTATGTCAATAATATCCCAGCTGTTTTCAATTCAAAAAAACAAAACCTGAAAAGATCTTGGCTACCTGCCACTGCCACAGATGGAGATCTTGAATTCTAAATGCAACAGCAGTTCCTTGCCCCCTCCATTTAGTTTATTTGGATTTGTCTCTCCTATGCAGCACGCTTAGACCTGGAAACAAATCCATCAGTTTATACTTCCCCTGTAGGGATCCCAGCTCTTTCCTTTACCTGCTCAAATCCTTCACAAAACCAAAGAATTATAAAAGAGGCTGGAAGCTTGAGGTCTGGCGTTTTAAACATTGGTGATATTGATGACCTGAATGATACTATACAAGTTACAGGACAAACCTGCTCTCTTTTTGTTGTAGAAGTGGTAAATATTTCCTAATACAGCATTGAGCAGTGAATGCTGAAAGGCATGGACTGCATTCTGTAAGTCCTTCTCTGTTAAAATAATCAGTATAAAATGTGGTGTGCTGTTGCTGGAGGGGGAAGATGGCACGCACCAGCCAAAAAAGAATTAGGGAAACTGGAGCTTTTGCATATTTCCTTAACCACATCTGCCTTGGAAATTTGTGTGCAAAAGAAATGAATAACCAAGCAGTAAATAGTAATAAGCTGAACATCTGTAAGGAAGTTAATTTAAAAAGACATTTCTTATTTGGCAGCTGCATTACTTTTGATTACACCCTAGGACACTGCCCAAAGAAAAATTTCCTTGTAATCCTTAAAGGAAACAGACCCCAAAAGCTTTTCCAGCACTTCTATTTGCTCTAGTTTTCTGCTGTTATTTATATAATGACCTATTCATCTGATGCTTTTAGACCTGGAAAATAAAGCTCTTGTGACCAGCTTGTGAAATGGATCCTAGTGCTTCAGAGCAGTAGGAGTCTGGGAACCCTGAACTTCATTCCACCTTTTTAACACTTCATTTTTCTTTGAGTGGCAGATTCTCCTGCCATAGAGAACAATGCAATTTTTAAAACAGTGTTTATTAGTTACTCAAATGACACCAAGACACTCTGCCTCTTCTTTTTTTCCATTGTGTTTTGATTTCTTGCAAATAGGCCATGAAAGATGAAGGATTTTGTGGAGTCTGATTTAAAAAAAATATATATGTATCTGAGGATCCCAAGCAATTTACATTGTCCAGGTGAAAAATGAGATCCTGGACCACAATTTTCAAACTGTCAAAGGTTTTTCACTGCTCAACTTCTGTGACATGCTCGGTAAAGCACTTCTTTCAGCAGTCAACACTTTTTGAAACTCATGACTGCAGTTCCCAGAGATGAGCACGAAAAATCACTACTTTTCTTAAAAAGGTCTTGTTCTGTCTGCTAAAGCTGAGATGAAATTCTGTGATCCTAACCTGCTGCAAGAAATAGCTCCTATAGGAAAAAGGATAAAATAGAGGAAAGGAACAGTTAACCTCTTTGGGGACTGACATCCTTCCCATTACAGCAACCTGATGAAACTCTGGTCAACAATGTTTAGCCGGTTCTACAATTCTACCACATATCCTGCTGCTTCTGGTGAATCTGATGAGGTTTTTTTCACTTCTTGCCTTTTTAAACTGCAGAGCAGCTTGTTATGTATGTAGTTAAACAGCTGTCATCTCTCACCCTCAATATCTAACTATTTTATTGTTGGCTGAAGTTGTTCCAGGACCCAGCTAATATGTATTAGCTTGTTTATAAAGCATGTTGGAATAAAAAAGTGATAACTACTAAACATCAGGTAGCACCAATGGTAGTAAGAAAATTTAATAACAATAGAGTAATTCCCGTATATCCCTATGCTGCATCTTAAACTGAGCTAGAAGAGATTTCATCTAAAAGCTGGAGGCCAAACTATGTGTCTCTGGCGCGTTGCCACTGGAGCTGTGGGTGTGGTGCTTCACCAATAAAATACTACCACAGTCTTGGTAACTATTGTCTTCTCCGTAATTTAGTCTTTTGACAAGACGACATGAATGTTTGGCAGGCTTTCGTGTCAAGAAAGCCAAGAGAATGATTTTTTTGTTGTTGTTCCCTCCCTCCAGTGAAGAAGAGTTCACTTTACAGACTAGCTTTTTTCTGGAAAAGGCAAGGTCAGCGGAAAGCAGGTTATTTTTAGGGGTCAGATACCACCGAGCCAAGACTCCCCGGTGCTAGACAATAATCAGCTACTGGGTTGTATTGTTGTGTTTTGTGTTTTGCAGCTGTGTGCACTTGACCGTATTTTGCCAGCTGAGACATTTTGTTAAGGGGTGAGTGAAGGATCTCTAAACACAAACTCCCCAAGCTAAATAAATAACAAACCCTGACCAACCTCCCCAAAATTCCCATGTGCTCACTGAACTCATGATTTACTGCAGCGACTCTGTAACTCTTTAAGTGCACACAGAATTGCTGCAAAGCCGGAAAAAATTGTCTGTAATCTCTCTGTATTCTGGTCTTGTCTCTTGTTTGCCTGTATTCTGCTAGGATGTTGCTTAAGTGAATTTTTAAGAACTTTTTCTGTTGTTGGTAGCTACACATACCATGCAGTACTAGCTTGGGATAACTATTGCAGATGGCCAGTGGCCTGATGTCCTGCATGTTCTGTTTATTCTGCAGTTTGTTGCCTCTTCTGCCTGTTCTGCATATTGTTGTCTGAAATCCTGCTTATTCTGATAGCAGGGAAGTCTCACTGAGCATTGGCTTTTTGCACTTTTTTTAGGCCTAAGGGTCTTATTTTCACTTTCTTAAAAACTCCTTTCTTCTCTTGGGCTTGAATTCAACCCACTCTCTTGCACAGAACTGCAATCTCCCTACTTTCTGCTAGGGTTTGGCTTCAGCGTCGAGGACGCCTGCGTGCCTAGGTGCAGACAGACAGGTTTGCTCTGAAGAGCGGGATGTCTCGGCCGGGAGAGGCACGTCCCAGCACAGCTGCACGGCTTCTGGGCTGGAGCTTGCACGCAGCCAGCTCACCTGGAGCACGTGACAGCGGAACACGCATCTGCCGCTGCTTGGCCGTGTAGTTGCGTGCCGGCTTTGACCTCAGGTTAGCTCAAGTTGAGATCGCGTGTCATTCAGCAAGGAAGAGGAAGCGACCCACAGCGGGCTCCAGCCCTTCTCTGCTTTCCCAGGCAGTCTGTACCTCTGTCTATGCTTTCCCCACAGCATCCCAGGCTCGTGTGACTTGGGACCAGGAGAAGGATTTGCAGTCCCTTGTTATCAGTCAGTTGGAAATTCGATTTGCAGAGGTGGCTTTGTTTAATTATGGTTTTAGTATGGTCATAGTGTGCAGGGAGTGCCACAGCAAGCCATAAGCCTGTGCCTGAGCTGGCTGGCAGACGTATGCAATGATACATCCTGGCGTTGGTGAGGTCCCACGCTTACCTGCCCCGAGGATCTTTGCCGGGGCACATCTCAGCGCCCATCCTGCCTGGGTTTCCTCACTGTGGGACTCTGAGTCGTGGCTGGAGCATTCACCCAACCTCATAGTCCCTGAGGTTGTAAGCTTTACAAAGACACAGGGACCTGGTTGGTGTCTCACAGGGCTTTTGGAGATCTTTTCCTGTGTCCTAGCAAAACGGGGCTTCTGGTTTCTGTAATCTCTTGGGCTCTTTCTGCTTTTGAGGTCGTGATCTTTAAATTTATGCGGTGAGTAAACAGAATCATAATCAGATCTGAACTTATCAAGCTTTGAGATATTAATGGACCTAAAAATAACTGGGCAGTGGTAGTTAAGACATGGTAGAAAGAATAATAAAATATTTTTCAATTATTAGTTAACATTACCTAGAGTTTGAGAAGAAGATATTGGGTAAAGAAGAAGAGGGAGACTGGTTCATAACATAATATGATGTTCTTCTTGTAAATACCTTAGATATATTAATGGAGAGAAGGACTGACTCATACCTCATTATAAACTTTTTTGTAAACTTTTCTGTATTGACAGGCGCTATCAGAATCACTTTGCAATTCTTTCATTTCACTTCTCTCTCTGAAGTGTTTTTCGGCTTTATTCCTCTGCAGGATGATGGCCTTCCAGAGAATGAGCATCAGCTGTCAGTAGCTGGGAAGATAAAGAAGCATTTCAACACAGGCCCTAAACCGAACAGCACAGCAGCTGGAGTTTCTGTAATAGCAGTAAGCATCTGAAATACACACCTGAAACACTTCAATATGTGCCCACAAGACAGTATGTGTTTAGGACATGCCACCAAAAGAAACCGGCGAGGGTTAATCTTTAGATAATTTGAGTGTTTAATTAATATACACAGTTAGATGGATATTCTGCACAATTTCTCCTTTGATTCTCCTTGTGAGTCACATTGTTATTTAACAGCCCTAGCAGATCAAACAGTACCCACACTTCCACATTTTACCACAAGATCAGTGGACCTGACTCCAATGTAGATTCAACAATTCAAGCTGTGGGGTCATGACGGGATCATGACATTTTACTTGGCAGCAGGATCATCACATGGATTGGGGCCACACAGAGGTTGTGTTAGAACTTTACAATGAGTGGAAATTATTTTGAAATTGTAACAGAAAATCTGTATTGCAGCCTGAACTTCTCTTCTCTGAAGACATCACAGAGAGCTATGATGCCTCACTGCTACCTTCATAGTTGATATGAGTCTAGCCACTTCAAATTTAGCTGAGCAGCGGCGTTTTATTGTACTGCCACATGCAAGCTGCTTCCCTTTAGGCAGAAGGGCTTAACTGGGTAAAGACTTAATGGAGCTCCTTGCTGCCTTCTGTCATGTTGCAACTCCAGTCTAAGCATTCCAGGTTAGAACATGTCAGAGCTTCTGAAACCAAGCTTGACCAAACTTTTGACCAAGCTTTACTGAGGTTTCAGTGGCATCCTCAGTGTAGCATACATGGCATACATTTGTATTTTTTTCCCAAAGAGGAACATGTGTGTTACTTATACATGCGCACAGAATATATTCAGTGTTTTATGAGATTATTCATACTAATGCCATCGAATAGCAACATGCACATCCTTTACATTTTTGATACATCTGCCTGTGTTTGTAAGCTTTTCTTTATTACTCATGGTAATGTTAATGCTCCAAATAGTCACTAAAAAGAAGTGACACGTTAAACATAACCATTCCCATATCGGATTACTCAGTGTTCATTCCCAGCTTCCATAAATTGCAGGTGGTGTGACTGCACATGTACGCTCTCTTGTACTGTTTCCACTTTCATGTTTCTCAGCTCAGCCCCTCCAGTGGTGAGTTAAATCAGCATGAAGTAAACTCAGCTCAGCACATGCAATCTGGCTCACAGGTGTGAACCGTTTGTGCAGCAAAATGAATACTCTCTCAAAGTTACTTGGTAGAAGTACTTAAAATTTCAAGCTGTGCCTCTCATATTTTTTCTTTACTCTTTCCAACCCTGAACGTCCTCAACATGGAAGCAAGTTGTTCCTCATGCTTTTCCTAGATTTTCTCAGTCATCAGCTAACATAGTCAGCATTTATTTATTTTCATTTTTAAGCAATAATACTGCAACAACTCTCCCACAACTAAAACATCACATACCCATTGCTCATCTGAAATGCAGGTATGTTCTTATAGACTAGCTGAAACCGTGTTCCTTTCGAATGGACTGCCAGCACGCTTGTCCATGAGAATTACTGCTCAGATACTTCAAAGCTTAAAAGCGAGAAATGATGCCTCTGTCCTCATCCATCCCTTGCCTCCTTTATGTTTTTAATATCCCCACCCTCCTCTTTTTTTTTTCTTTGCCCCAGTTTCTCTGCCAAGGAATTGTTTACAGCAGTTTGACACTGGAGTAATGAAAAAGGCACTGTAGTGAATCTTTCCACTGCAAAACATTATACATCAGGAAAAAAAATGTGTATGTTTAATTATATTGTTATTGGCTTTTATTTATTTTTTAGAGTTTGAAAATGTAACAGATTATTTTTAGTGATCATCTCTGTGCATGAAAATCATACTCTGGCACAATTAATCCTGCAACTTGGCCTATAAAGTAGAAATGTTTAGAATATTTTTATACAATTCAGAAAGTGGTTTGATTAGCTTGGGTCAATTATTTGCTAAAAACTTTAAAGATATGGGGAAGTATAGACTTGTTTAGTGTTTTGGTAACATTCCAGAAAGCTAGATAATTTTGATTTTAAGAATAAATTACCTTTAATATCTACAAAACTAATTTGATAAGCAAAATAAAGCCAAAAGCAAAACAACAAAACCTTTAATTGTTGTTTCTGCATTTGAAAGGATACTTGACAGACATTTGATATGAAAATCATCAGGATTTTACATCTGGGAATCTTCCTTTAACTGTGCAATCTCAAATATCATAGAAATAAATCTTATTAATGAAGCCTGCTCTACATTTAGGATTTTCAAAGTATGTACAGATGCTGTAACATTGTTCAGCACTGAATATGTGCACGACGTATATTTTCTACAAAAATACTGTTTTATTGTGCCTGCCCGTATGTTTACTGTAACTTTTTGAGAGAGTGCTTGTGTATATAATATATAGAGATGCCTTCTATGTATTATATAACACATCTGTGTTTGTGTGTGTATGTTTGTGAAAATGTGTTAATATGTGCATATATTTATATATCTTAATAGTATAAAAGATAAATATTAGCATTATTTTGAGTTTTATAACTCTATTTATGTACAGAGCAGCTAATCTGTGGTATTTAGTTTTTTCTTCATCCTCACACTGGTATGATATTATATGCTTGTTTTATTCAGTGGTAAGAAGTAACACACCTCAAAGATCTCAACCACTATTTATCATATGCACCAATTAAAACTATAATATGAAAATTAAGTTCCTAAAGATGTGTTTGTGGTCAGCTTGACTGTGAGGAAGCTTGAAGCCTTGTATATTTTATATACATCTACTGTGGCTACTGCTTCCTTCAGTAATGTCCAAATAGATTGCATTGACTCCTTTGGTTCAGATTCGGATCTGCTGTGTTGGTGTGGTGATCTTCAGTAAAAGTTGCCTCTGAGCATTCAGGGCAGAGACATACTACAAGATCTCGTGCATGTGTCCAGGCTTCAAGTTCATCCACATTTGAAAGGATTTGTCAGTTTGGACAAACTACAGTAATGAATGTGTTGTGCATGCGTAGCAAAGTAGTTCCTTTGCTGATGTAGCAGAAGGTGATTGCTCAAGCAAAATTAACTGCACAGGCAAAGAGACTTTTCTGTTGATACATTAATACCTCGTTAAAAGGTCTGCCAGCATAACTATGTCAGCTGGGAAAAAAACTCTCTTAAACCAACATAGCTTTGCCAGCAAAAATTTGAATTGGAGGGCCAGCTTTTAAAACAGCAAGAGAATTAACAAGTCCCTAAAAACCCCTGCTTGCTGACGGGAGAGTATGTAGGAGAAAGATCGCTTTACTTGCCCTGTTCTTAAACTCTTGTCATAGGCACTGACTGCCGGTCTCTGTAGGGGACAGGGGCTGGGCGAGTGCCCTTCCGGTCTGTCAGAATGGCCGCGTTACCCTTAAGTGTGTGTCAAAATACTTACAGGATCAGGTTTCTCAGGCAGCTTTCCAACAGGAACAGGATTTTGTAGTTCCTTGGTGGTGTTTATAAAAGATACTGCAGTAAAAACATAAAACCAGACTTTTACAAAGTAGTCTATTTAATATTTGGGGATCATTTTTTTCCTTCAGTTCTCCAAGGATGTCATCCCATTTTTTTTTCCTTTGGCCACAAAACAATACCCTGTGTCTGTATCCTCTGGGCTGTAATGACAGCGGCTAGAGTGACCGAGAGCCGAAATCATCTTTTGAGAATGCTTCCGAGATCCAGAGGTGTGCTGTAATTCCATAGATGAACTGAGCATCGTTTAATTTGTGTTCTTGTCTGAAGTGTTAAAGCCTTGCCTGTATGTTGTCGCTTTTGTGCTTGTATTTTTGCCATTGTTAAGACAGAGGAAAAGACTAATGATAATTCTCTGTTAAGGTTGTATGAGGTCTCTGTCTTGGCAATGGGAGTAAACTCCAGCTGGACACTTAGAGGAATCAAGTAGGACAGCAGAAGAGAAAAGCTGCTCAGAAAGTTGGTGCAGCTCTGTGCCTCTTGCAGAGTGGCGTGGGGCCACTGCCCGCAGTCCAGCAAGGGAAAGGCAGCGGGTGGGTCATTGCCCTGCACTCCGCCGACTCTGAAATAGAACCACAAATTCGAAGTGGTGTTTTTAGAGGTGGGACTTCTCAGGTGGCGTGGAAGAGAAGCCAAGTTTAGTCTGTCAGTTTTGCTTGGCTTGAAGAGGAACCCGTGCCATGGATGTCCCTTCCCGTCTATTGTCTGTGTTGTCCCGGGATCACAGTCCCCAGTCGGGTTTCTCATGGTGGGATTTCCACACCCATGAAATTGCTTCAGCTCGTGTTAGGAAGCAGCTCTCCCGATTTGCTCTTTATTACTTTTTAGCTATTCGATTTTAGGGCAGTAATTTTGTTCTGCCTTTTAAGAAAACGTCCCTTGTGTGTATTATTTTGTGTGCAGCGTGAAAGGAAGCCAGTAGATGGCAATAGTAGACCAGTAGTAAAGCCAACAGAAAATTCACTCTACGCACAAGATTCTCATGGTTTTAACCAGGAAACGTCCTTTAAATAATTCTAAATAAGATGAAAGTGGTATTGTTTTAACAAAATGGAATAAATGATTAAATTCTACACTTGCAGAGGACTCATCAAGAAAAATTTAAATTTGCAGTTAGCTCCTAGCTACCCTTGAAGTGGTTGGTAACTAGAAATGTGATGAACTGCTGTTCTGAATTTAGAGTTGGAAACTGTCATCAGTATTGGAAATATATGCCACGCTCTTACTGAAGCACAAAATGGCCTTTTCTCTTCATAGGGCAAAATGTGAAAATCATCACAACTAACAATTTTAAAGTGGGCAGAGTGTCTCCCTCAAGATGTTTTCCCCAAAATTTTTGTTTAACTCAGCTAAATGATGTGTCCACTGTCTGTTAGTGCAGCACAGAAGGATTAGAGAATACAACACGTTTTCTTTGTTCCTATGCACATGATTCTGCTAATGATAAACTAAACTTAAAAGATCTATATTCCTTAACTAATATCACGAGCACGCTTTCCTGGACACAATATTAAGTTCATTTCCATTTTGTCTTTAATTGGTGCAATTTTAAATGGAATAGTTTTGTACTGTTATCTTTTTGAGCATGAGGTGTAAGCTGAAATGATAAACAATGTTATTCATGGCTCTGCGTAGTCCTGCTCTCCAAGGTTAACGCATTTTTAGAAATGAATTACCATGATTGATGTGGTATCAAAACCTGATTCTTTTCATCTTTACTCATTCCATGATTATGAAGCAGTCTAATTTAAGCCTTGTGTAGTCTGTCTAGCCTGCTCCTTGTGATGGTTGCACTGCATTTTTTTTTAATTATTAAACCTCTCAGTTTAATTGCAAAAGATAATTTTCCATTACTGGTACGTGCAACTTAAAAGGACACTTCTGTCTTCGGAGGTAACAAGATATTTGTCAGACTTTTAAATGAATGCATTATGCATTAAGTAACCTGTTTCACAAACTCCATTTTAGTTTGAATAAATTGGATTCTCATTTAGCAAGACGAAATCTAGAGTTAGTATCTTTTATTTCTTTGCTTTTTTTTTCTTTTTCATTTTCATCTCCGGTACGCAGCGTTAGGATGTTAGATAAGTGCCTTCTGAAAGTGAACACAGTAAATATGCACTAAATAAGGAACAGCTTGCTCTGGAGTCTGAATTCTTTAGCCTAATGTCGATCCACTGAGTTGCCCCGTTTCTCTCTGCTCAGCTGGACCACGGGTTTACCATCAAGCGATCAGGGTCTTTGGACTACTACCAACAACCAGGAATGTATTGGATAAGGTATGAGATGGTGCAGCGCCAACAGTCAGTGTTTCCATGGCAACGTGCTGGCAGTCTCCATTAACCAGTTCCTTCAGTGGATAAACATGCTTTTTGATTTGTTATCCGGTCCATATGCTGCTTTATCAGTTTCGTTTTAATCTTGATTGAGATGCCACACCCCCTCATTCCCTTTCTTCACCCATCCCTCACACCCACATCGCCAGCTTTCTCTTCATCGCACATGCTCAGTATCAGTTTCCCCTATAGTTAAAAGGACAGTGTATATAGAAAAATCGACTAGATATGCTGAAGTACGCACCCTCCCCCTCCCTATTGCTTGTTAAGGCATCTGCTTCCCCTGCGCTCCTGGTTTGAAACACACGGAGCAGCAACAGGCACTCAGCATATATTTTCCTCTTTTTCCATGCGAGATGTGGAGCTATATACTGTCATTTTAAACCCACTAAACACAATCCTTACCTTAGATTGAACAATGCATTTACATAACGCGGTTCGTAGAAACTCTCCCAAGTTCAATGAAATACAATGCATTGTATGTGCTGGTAAGCTTGTGTTTCTAACAATGCATTCTTTCTCTTTTCTTTTGAAAACCCTTCTGATACCTATTTGTTTTGATTTGATTTTTTTAAATATTGCATGAGTCCTTTGAGTATATTTTCTTCATTGTGTAACTGTGCCAGGGTTGTTGTTAGCTGGCTTAACCTGTATGATAAAATGGGACTCTGGGTGGGAGGGGGATATTCTGGAGCAGGGGCAAGCAGGGATCCAGGTCTGATAGCCCACACGAGGCCCGTGCACCTCCTCAATCAATCCAGAGTCCTGGAATTTCCATCAGGTGGTTATTTTGCTGGCTTTTTTCCTCCTTATTACTCACAAGACCTGCATTTTGATAGCTGGAGAAATTTTTAAGTTTTTTGCAAAACCTGCGTTTTCTAACAGTGCAGGGATTGAAGCCTTTAAAAACTTGTCTGTGAGGTATTTGGAAAAACCCAGCAAATTAACCACATCAGCGAAACAGCAGAGATGGTCACTGCAAGTAGAACTCCCACCTTGGATTGTTTCACCGAGTGCATAGACTGGGCTACAGCACAGTTTCCACAAAACCCAGCAGTTCCCTGAGCTCACACTGAGGGTTAAGTAGACTCTGACATGGATGTTCTGGGGAAAGCAAAACCAAAAATAATCCTACTTTTCAGGCAAGAAGTAGAAAAGTAGTTCCCATCCATCAGCTGAACGTTGGCTAGCAAGGACTGAGAAACACTCACTCCAAGCGCTTAAATGTGCAACAGGGTCTGTAATTCCAGCCTAGTGCACTTGCATTGGTGACTGTAAACCTACCACGACCTGTGAGGACAGCACAAAACCTGCTTGGTCTGTCTTGGCACTTGGCATCATGCTTCGCAGGTTCCAGCCCCGGAACGCAGCTGACTGAGAGCTGGCAGCACAGCAGCTGTGCTTTTTGATTTTGAAGAAGGGAGTAATGGGGCCTGAGTGCCCAGCTTTTGCTAAGTGTGGGTTTGATAATATTAGAGGAATTTTTATTTTCTGCTCAAGAAGGAAAGATGGTGGTTTGTGCTGGGCAGGACTTTGTCAAATAGTTGCAAATTTAATGCCTCCTCTGTAAAAAGAGGGAAAGCTCACATGAGCTTTATTTGTCTTCCTAGAGTTTAATTGCTATCCACAATCAGCTTGCACTCCTGCTCTGCTTTACAATTTTTATTTTACACCAAAAAAAAAATCTGTCTTTCCATTTGCCGTACACAGTGTTTGGATCTTTTAAAACCCCAGCTTCATGGGGAGCAGACCACCAGAAACAGGAGCCTGTGAGAAAAGCGAGCATCTCCTCTCAGATTGGCCTTGACTCAGTTTAACTGCATAGACCAGATTTTGAAAAAAAACATACGCATTTTGAGGATGTAGGGGAGGAAGACTCTAATTCTGCAACTTGGGAAATAAATAAACGCTATAAAAAAAAAAAAGGCATTTGACTAAAGCACTAGTAATGGCTGCCATCAGCATACAAAATGACACATCCCTGAATAATGGGCTGGAGCAGATGGGCGATAATCTCTCTTATTCATACATAAACTGCTCTGTTTTCCAGCTGGGGGCAGTAACAACAGCGTTTATAATTAGTGCTTTCCAAACAAGGCACCTAGCGTGGCAAGGCAAATTGGGAGAGCAGGGCTCCTAGGCGTAGATGCTCTAATTAGGAAATGCTAGAACATACCCATCTAGGGGGTACCTCCGAACAAGCACTGCCCTGTGTTCGGTCGTCTTTCATCTCCAACAAACAAGCAACTGTGGTAGTGACCAACTTTTTAATCTAAACAAAGCCATTTCGATTTAGCAAGTGTTTAGTAGTAACTCTAAGCATAAATATGAAACATATGAAAAGGTTCATCCATTCCTGTCTATAAAACAGTTAATTTATCACAGGCCCATGAAAATTAACCTGAATTCACAAGTACGGCCGAAAAATGAAAGCGGGTCCCAAGCAAAATGTAATACTCCTTTTGTTAGTATTAAACTACTCGTTTCTTCTTGCACTCCTTTGATCATTTTCATCCCTAGTTTCAAGCAGTCTTCTAAAACATCTTTTTAAACGGCACTATTTCCTCCTTCAGTCAACCAGAAAACCTTTTCCTTTCTCCGCCTAAAAGACTTTCCTATTCAAAAAGTGCCTCAAAGTCCCAATTTTCTGAGCACTCGTTCTGCATCCTGTTTTATTCTCTTTCAGTAAGATAATATGGACAAAAGAGACTGGCTTTTTTGAGACACTAGAATACAACACACCTTATATGAGATATAATGCCTGGAAAATCTTACAGTGTTCCTTGAATATGATGAACAGGAAAATCACAGGGGCCAAATCAGTAAAACCATTTGGACCCCAGACTACTCCATGTTTTAGAAGCAGCCCATCTAATGCTGTCAGGACATCAGCCCTGCAATCAGCAGTGCAGAAAAGGCCAGAGCAGCATCAGCAGGGAAGGAGATCTGGAGGTGCCAGTGAAACCCCTGCAGTCTGCACTGCCCCAAGGCTGGTGAAACTTATTGGTCCTGATAGCCAGGAAAGCCAGCCTTGATGTAGCTGGGTGATGCCCATGGTGCAATCACATCTCCATTCACCCCAAACTGCCGATGTCAACTCAAGTCAAAGACAGCAGAGATCACCCATCTCTGAGCAGAGGTACAATGTTTGGAATTTCTCTTTTTTCCTCCGAAGTCAGCCCATTCTCTGACAGATCTCTTTGTAAAAGGGTTAAAGCCAATGTACTAATCTTTTATAATATCCCTTCTACTGGAACTCAGCAACAGTGACCACAAAAAAATCCAGATGGCACCTGCGTTGTCCATCAGAAATACCCTAACTGACAGATTTACTTTACTATAAGAACTTTTCTTTAATATCTGCTTAACTGAGACTTTTTAAATAGTTTATGTGATTCAAGTTTTTTGGCTTTCTTGTAAGTAAGCCAGAATATTAAGAGTGAAAGTGTTTCAAGCCTTCCCCTTAGCCCTAGGCATTGCAGTCCCAGGTCCATAGCCTTCTTCAGCTGCGTTACCTGTTCCTCATAATGGCAGCCCATTTTGAAGGCGTAATGCTTTGCGTAACTTATCAGTGTTTCCTTCAACCCTGAACTGCATGACTAGTTTTGGTTTATGTCCGAATCTTAACATTACATTAACCTGCTACCAACTGAATGGCCTGAATTTTATGCCTTTTCTGGGCTGATTCAGAAGCACCAGAGAGGATGTATCTAATGTAAAATATTAGTATGTTAGTATATGTAGTATTATATATAAGATTAGCATAAAGTGTTAGTGTGTGTTATTTTTAATATACCAACAGACACTATATAAAAGCTAAAGGAGCAAAATAAAAACCAGGAAATGTATGGGAAGGTCATTAATGATCTTATCTATCTAATGACAATAGCAAGGAGATAAGTTACATTGGATACTTAATGAAATCATCAATCCAGTACATACTGAACTCATAAGATACTGGATTTTTAAAATACAATTCTCACTGTCACAGTTGAAAAAGTGTCTGAATAGCTAATTTGAAAACCTGTAGTTCCGTCCTCTGTGTTTGGTTCCTTTACTATGTATCTGTCGATCTACTTGCACCTGTCCCAAGTGGATACAATACACTTTCAGGTCAAAAGTTACAGCCAGACATCTTGGCAACGGGACACGGAAGTTGGGAATCAGGCTTGCTATCTGTTAGGTGCCATTTTTAATACCGTGTATATTGATAAAAACAGGCAAACATCTAACCTAATTTAGAATCTCTTCTCCTGCTCCTTGACTAAGAAAACCACAGCTGATTTACAAACTGTAAATAAAATTCATCCATGCAAACAACTTGGCACTAAGTCTCTTCCACATGTAATTGAAACCAGCTGAGGAATCATGTCTCTAAGATGGGGTGATGTCAAAGAATAAATACAAACTTAAGTATAGCAATATGAATTCAGCAGTTCTATGTGTAGAATACTTGTCTTTGTATTCACACACCAATACGGTACAAAGCATACATCAAGTTGATTTGGTTTTCTTTCTTTTTTATTTTCATTTTAGCTAAATTCCATGCCAGAAGTTACATGGTGCGCTAAAGCACTGGCCTTTTGTATTTGGAGGTCTAGGTTCAAATCCACTCGATTAATTTGTCCCCTCGATGTGGTCATTTGCACGTCTCCAAATCGCCGTGTAACTTGACTTAGTTATAGCTTGTGCCTGAGGGGCTAAAAGTAACGTGTCATTCGCTCCTGGACTGAGGTGCATTGCTAAGTTTGAAGTACTCTCCAAAAAGTGTCTTGAATCATGAATCAATCATATATATATATATATATATATGTGTGTGTGTGTGTGTGTATATATATCTATATATGTATATAACCTGAAAACCAATGGAAAAAATAAAAACAGGTCAGACTGAAGGGCTGCCTGGCTCGTGCCACAAGCATTGTTTCATGGTCATTTTTGCAGTAGGGAAACGTGCCTTTACATATCTCAACGTATTGAGGTCACTAGCCAGAAGCTTAAGGAAATAGGATAAAATTATCTAGATGTGAACATTTAAATACCTGCATATACATACATGTATATAAAAGAATGCACTGGAAGAAAAACACCACTGTTTCAATAAATATGTCCATGTAATTCCACACACTAAAAAAAGCATCACGAAAATAGCAAACAAATTGCAAATATGCTCCTGCAGAATGAAAGCGAGTGAAGGGTTTCTTAGATTAATGCATGAACAGCTGCATCCCCAGTTCAGTCTCCTGGCTGGTATGAATAATGGATGGGCTAAGAGGCAAAATGCACAATAATGTTCTTTTATTAATGAAATGAATATGTATCTATATTTGGTGGCCACCAGTAAATTAAGACAAGTGAAAAGAAAAACGGTCACTGCTTGCATTCATAAAATGCAGTTGCTTCAATCCAATAATTACTGACCTGACAGAAAATATCACCCCATGGCTAAAATAGGTGCTTCCCACTCCAGATACAACATATAAATTAAAGCAGTTGTAGTTTTTGAATTTCTTTCCATAAACACAGAGTTCAATGTTTTCCAAGAAAAATGAGCTTTCATGGCTCAGGAGTCCTGCAATGTGAAGACACAGAAATCAAGAAGAAGACAATCCCTGTGGCAGAATCCTGGAAAAATGCTAACTGCACCTAAGTATGTAGGTGACAGAAACAATTATTTTAAAATAATGCTCCATTACTTCAAATTAAATGCATTTCCAAAAATGGCTTGTTAACCAGTTGGTGCTGGGTGTCAGGATTACTAAATGTTGGTGCAAAATACATTAGTGCTTAATGAAGTGCTTCAGACCCATCAGCACCAAACTATTAGAGGCAATCCACTTATCTGCTGCTGGATAAGGAGCTCTACATTTCCTCATGTGGATTGTAAGAGGACAGCCGCATATCTTAAATAAGAATGCTATCCTTACATTTTAGTTGCCGTTACTATCATATACTGCTCAAAGTTCTCACTCTCTCACCTCGAGCTGGGAAAAAAAAAGAATGTCAAAATGTGATAATGAAAATCTGGGATTGGCAGCCCTGTGAAGCATAAGTGCACTTCAGATCCTCTTATTATTTATTGAAAGAGTAGCTTAAAGCAGAAATGCCCTGGAAAACCATAATGGACTGGTTCATGCACTGGCGAACCACCCAGCTGAATAGTAGATGAAATAATAAATCTATTAAACCAAGGCAATGCGTATGAGAGGCCTTTGTTACAAAAACAACAGCAATGATGAAAAGGCTGATTTTTGGAACATGCCCACGTGAACAAAGGTGTACGGTAGGTGAAAATTACTTATAAAACACATGCAGTCCACACTCCAGCGTATCTTACCATCTCCCCTGCGTTCCAAAGCGTTAATCTATCATATTATGAAATTCTTTAGAGGTAAAAAGAACTGTGACCTCTTTAAAGGAAAACTCGCATTTGTGCAGAATGCAGACTGGCCGTACTGCCTGGCAGTGTGAGAGACACTGGAAGTGCAAAGCGTCATTGCAACGTTGGGCAGAATAAGGCCCATCTTGCCAGTTCTACAGGGTTTGTGAGCGCTCTGTGGCCAGCTCTGACCCATTCTGTGGTTCTGACACGTGAAACACTAAATGTTAGAATATGACCTGTGTAGTTTTACTTTCACTAGGTAAATGCTCCCTTCTTTAGCTCTCCATGGCTTTACACATTTTTATTCAATAAGCTCTTTGGGGGAGAAAGGCTCTGAATGTCCCTCAGCCCAGGAAAGTAACAACAATAATGCCCCTGAGTTTACAAGCATACCTTTATAAAGACCAGTTAGGCCAAATTCGACTTGGGATACAAATGTAAATATCACAGGAGTTTGCTGAAGGGTTATGGAGCCACAAATATTTGGTCCTATAAACTACAGCATAAGGTGCTGGGTGAGGTGGGATCATCAGGTTTTTTTGCTTGGTATTTTTGATTAATGAGACAGGAAGTTCCTTTCTGTACATTTAAACAAAAACATCCAAAACTTCCCTCAAAATAGTAGAAAAGTAGTATCTTGAGGTTTATTTTTTAAAGATATCTTTAAAATGATGTCCTAATATGTAATTATCTAGTTAGTTCAGTAATTTCATAATTTTGTCCTGTAAAAAAACCAATACCCTAGTCTAAATTTCAAAAAGAATCTTTTATTCAAGAGTATTCACTTCTGTGTAACTTACCTAATTTTAAATACCTTCAGTTTTTACATATGTATTTACCATTCTCATGCAGCAGATTTTAAAAGTAAATTTTGAATCTAATACAAGTATTTTTATTAATTCGGCTAGAAATGTTTAAACTTCTCAGAGCAGAGTATCTATTACCTCAGGATGATGCGATGTGGTTTAAACTTTATATAAATGCTGATTTCCTGTAAGCATTAAAAAATCTTTTAAATGAAAATCTGTATTTTATAGAATGGTAATTTATGCCATTCTTTTCAATTTTCACACAAAATTACATACTGTATGCAGTATATTCACTGCGTGTAAAAGATCTAGGTACTCTTCTGTTTCACATTAAAAAATAATCAAAACCTGAATTGGTTCAAGGCTGAGAATTGTAGAAGGCATTGAAAATACTAATTAGAGCTCTTAACCAAAAGATTAGCAGTAAACAAAGAAATTCTGAGCAGATGAGAAGTGCTGGATTTTGTAGCGATTGTTATTTAAAATATAGAGATGAAGTTATCGAAGTTAATTATTTTACCCCTTTAAGATATTGCTATGTAGATTCTAGACACAAAAGTAATAGTTCAGCAATTTAGCCTAACTAAATCCATTTGCTATAGTAGCTCTGCACTCTCGTCCATCTTTCTGTCTATTTCATCACTATCGAATGCTGATTGCATTATTTTGGAGCAGGGATAGCTATAATGCTATTCGGCACCGGTATGATGGATTTAGTTTTCATTTTGTTCTCAAAAACATGTTGGCTTTCCTCTCCTATGAGGGTCACACTATAACTGGTAAATTTTTTAGAGAAATCAGTCATGTATATCTCAAGAGAAAACAATAAATCCTTTGAAGTAGAATAACCTTTTGGCTACATTCTTTTAAATAGAGATATTCATACTAAGGACAAATTTTACAAGTCTTTGCAGTTAAACCATTCTCGGAATGATCTTTGCCTCCAGTGCCATGATCAGATATTTGTTTGCATTTTATATGTCATCTTACTAGCCACCTGCCTTTTCCCGTTTTGCTTTTTCAAAAAAAATCACGGGCCATGTTTTAAGAAGGCAGCCCTGCTTCCAAAGGCGTCTAACTGTGTGTCAAAGTGCTCGTGCTGAATCAAGGCCACCCTGTTGAACTTGTACTTTTACAGAGATTTCAGGGACCGCAGTCTAATACCCCGTAATCAAGAAAACAGCAAAACCGAGTCCCATGCTTGACATCATTGGCCAGAGCTGGGCTGCCCTTACCTGGGTTGTAGTTTCCCCTTGTAAATGTGCCAGACAAAGCAGCAGAAAGGATGTGGCTAGAAGTGACAGCCATCTTATTATGACTTGCTTTCTCAACAGTGGCAGAAACGGATCAAAATATAAAGCCCATCAAGTAAGCGTTCTTCTTCCCCATTTCTAGATACTTTAGATAGACCTAGATAAAATTAGCATTTAATTTGATAGACCTTGGTTAACAGGAGGACGCAAGGTGGTCAGGCTAAATGGGTCTTTCCGTCAGAGCTCTTCAGAGGTCTCCCTAAGAACATCCATTGAGTGGCATGAGGAGGTGTCAAAGAGCTGGGCTAGCTCCCTTTGGTATTTGTTTTTCTCTCTCTCGTCTGACAACTTCATCACAATCCATCTTTGTTAGCTGATTGCACTGTCTTGAACATGAGTGAGTGTGCATCAGCCTTCATTAGGTCAAATCAAAGACAAATGTACATCTCTGCCTTGCCTGTAGAAACAGATTTATACTTTGAGAAGGGTGGGGAGGAGGTCAGTTGGTATTTGGCTTGAAATTTGAATCTATTAAAGGATGAAATTAATAGCATCCAGAAGTAGAACATATGGCATCCATATATATGGTACTGTATCTGCTCGATGATGTCACGCTACCTCTTAAGGTTTGGGAAATGCACTTTTTAAAGCATTTAGCTATGTTGTGGGCTAAACCTTTCAGACCTGACTGAGACAGAACAGGTTTAATTTGATCTGAACATTTATTATCCCTGGTATTTGCAGGCCACATAAAAACTCATGGTTTTCATTAGCTTTGCATTTCACACACAGCCTAATTTCATTTATTCTTATTTTATGCCCCTGCCAGACCACCGCTCTTGATAAGGAGAGGCAGGTTTTCCGACGAAGACGCAACCAGGATGTGAGGGGACGTTACAAGGCACAGCAAGCTCCACCTGAACTCAACTCCGAATCGGAAGACTATTCACCAAGTTCATCCGAGACTGTTCGCTCACCTAACTCACCCTTTTAATAAAACACTTTTACTCAAAAGTCTTGGCTTTAACCCTTTGAGACCCTGAAAATCCTTCAGACCTGTGTGAAGTGATTACAGCTGATGTATCCAGCAGTAAACGCTGCAATGGTGGAACAGAAAAGGGTGCTCACAGAATCTTTGTAAGAAAAATTTCCTAATTGATTGAAATACTTGTTCTCTGTTTAGATTGCAACTTGCTGCTAATATGATCCTCAAAGGGTTAAGGCTATTTTGCTTTTTTATTTAAAGATAGAAGCAGTGAATGTTTTCATCAGTGAAGCTAGGAACCGCAGTATGTAATTTTAGCACGTTAACCCTCTGAGTAAGTGATCAGCTTAAATCTTGACAACCCACATTAGGGCTTTATTCTGGCTTTTTTGCTTTTATACGCACATATCTTTTATGGTACCCTAAAGTTCCTTGCCAGTTTCTGGCGAAAACAATATCAAACACACTATTGCTTAGGGTTTGCCAATATAGGCATTAAAAATGAAAATAAAATTAAATAAACCGTATCTTCTACAGCAGCTCTTTCTAAACCTGCATCATGCTTCCACAGAGAGTGACTGTCTGTGGAGGATATTATGCAGGCTAAATGGGAAATTCAGTTTAGGTCAGCCTCATAGTTTACAGAATATGACATGATGATGGCCACAAAAGGTTGCTTCCATATCGTTTGCTGCTAATGACAGTGCAGAGTCTTGGGAAATGGCTTGAGGATACATTCTGTCATGTAATGGTATGTAATGATCTAGTTGAGAAGTTCCTGGTTCCTTTGCCTCATACTCAGAAATGTACAGGCATCCTCTCAACATGACCTGGTTATTCCGGGAGAGTCACTTCTAAAGATTAACATTGATGAGAATTACCCTTAAAAGAGCTAGAGTATTTCTAAATCGTGGAAAATACAAGTCATTTAATATATATGTAATGCCTAAACTGAATTAGCAAAAGTTTTGTCGCAGAATGGAGAAACTAAAAATGATTCACCAGTTCTATTTGTAACATTTAATAAAATGGGCATTTACACAGAGTATACCTATTTCTGGTTTGTTAAAACCTCAACACAGCATTATAGCATTTTATTTAACCAGTGTCCTGAAATTGACTTCCACAGAAATATTACACTTTGTAGACTTTTGCTTCAGATGTGATAATTTGAAAGAAAAATTATTATAAAATCACTCGGCATTTCACTTGAATTAAAAAGGCAACTTCCAAAATCCTGTTCTAAAATAAAAAACAACGTGATGAAATTTATACTTTATCGTATTGCTTATATAAAATGGAAGTTTTCTTCTCTGTAGTTAAAAGTTTCTCACAGTGTTTTAAAAAGTAACATGAATGCAGTTTCCTCTTTCTCCTTGCCCTTTCTTTCTCTTTCTTTCTCCCTTTTTCTTTCATATCATACAGCTAGAAATAGTAATATGCTACCCAAAAAGATACACCGAGTTTTCTGGTCTGACTGGGAAGTATAAATAATTTTTGGCGGAACAGAGCTAGTTGCCCTCTGTGCCATTTCCATTCTGAGTTGTGTTTGCTCAGGGAACTGTTCCTACGAGCAGCTGTGGCAGCGGAGGTGTACCTGCGGCTTGTTGGAGCTAGTGTAATGCTCTTTTGCATTCCTACCTGGAAGTATCAGTTGAACCATATTTCAAGAAACGCGAAAATTGTTTTGTTTCTCCATCCTTAAAAATGCATCTTTCATTGTCTCATTCATGAAAATTTATACATTAAGAGCTCTGAAGATTTCAAATGTGGGCATTTCATCTTGTGAGTCTTCACAGGTGGTACAAGTATTTCATGCAGAAATCAGTTAATTTCACCCAATGTTAATAATCCAGAAGCGAGACATTTAGTCGAAACTAGATCTCCTGTCTTCCTTGGTAGTAGGGATGAGCATTTCCAGGTTGGATTCATCCCCCTTGTCATGGGCACACCTTTTGGGCAGGACTCATGCTTTGATTCACCTATTGCTCTCACTCCATTGACTGTAGAAGGAACTTCTGGTGGAAGCTTACATCAGACACCAAACTTGAGATCATGAGTTTAGTAGAATGAATCTCACCTTAAGCCATAAGGAGACTCTGATCTCTGAATGTATGTCCATGGGTAGAAGGCCTGTGCATGGCCTCAGTTACTCTGTTTGGAACCTGAGTAACCCAAGTGAAGCAAATAGGTGTCTTGTTGGAGAACTCCACAGGGGCAAGAGATTAAAGGATAAAGGAACTGCCACACAAAGTTCTCAGATTTTAAGGTTTCGGAAAGGGCTGTGTCTGTGGCAGATCCTTGACCATGCACATCCAACCTAGAGTCACTGCCGAAAGCGGACCCTTGGTAGATAGGGCACAGCCACCACCATTGTGATGTTAGAGGCTGGAGTTTGGTAACATGTGGATGGGAGAGGGATTATATTTCCATGGGACCACACCCTCAGCCAGGGTAAATCCCACCTTGCCGCTTACCTGCATCAATCAGGATTTACATCAGTAGATCAGGATCTGGCACGTTTTTCCAGCATTGCCCTTCCGACGTCATATCACAGCCTTCCCTCTAGAAGAGATACAATGCAACCACGTAAATGCAAGACATACATTTGGTAATAAAAAAGTGTCTATAAATACGACGTGCTCCTTGAGTTTTGGGAAAATTTGGCATTCTTAAAGCAAAGGCTAATATTCATTCTTCTTAATTATAGAGGGAAGTCAGGAGGGAAAAAAATATGCTTCACCTTAAACGTGAGAAATATTATTCAAAGACCCATCTGGGATTTTCCTATCACCTTTTCTTTGCTTTGGAATACAGGATTATCATTAAAATAAGATGTTTGGCTCCTTCATCTTACACCATCTTGTACTACTTAAAATGTATGTAAAAATAATCTTAGATCCTGAAATCCCTACTCATCCCCAACGTCTTATATGTTTCTGGTCTTTGGTTCATGTTTTATGAACATAACTGTAAAAACATTTAAACTATTTTTAGATCTGTGAGATTGGGTTTCAAATTGCTGATAGCCTCTAGTTAGGCTTCAAGGAAAGGTATCTGGATATTTAAACTGTTTTAAAAGTGGTTTGCATGATGGTTTTAAATTTTTC